GCGATGAGCCGGGGTTGAGGAAGGAAAGGCGCACGTGTGTGTGTGCACAGACATAATGTGCACAGGCATCATTCTGGAGCAGGGCAGTGTGTAAGGCAGAAAATGGAAACGGGGTGAGGGCTCTTAGCTCTGCTCAGCCGAACCCCTGCGTGGGGTTCCCTGGGGCAGGAAGGGCGGACGCAGGGTTTGTCCTCACGGAGCCCTGGCGTCCAGGGCAGACTCCCGCCGAGTGGCTCCCTCCTCGGGGCTCGGCGCTGGATGCTGACCTCACAGCTCCGCTGGGAGCTGCCAGGGGACCGTGCGTGCTCAGTGCCCTGGCGGTGGCGGCGGGGGGCCTTCAGGGTTCCCCTTTCTAATTTGGAAAAGTGTTGCGAGCAATAAAAGGATACTTTCTTATGTTACATTTACACAATCAGAAATACGTAGAGGAAAAGTCCTGAGTGGTAATTAACAGCTCGGTGTGTGTCCTTCTAGACGTCCTGAAGTGCTTAGTTTATCTGTTATGCAAATACATTGGTAGGGGTGACTTTTGCTGGGTTTGCAACATACATAGTAGCAGACTGCCTGCCTGTTCTATGACGTTACTTTTTCATGCTGAATTTTTTTGGTCTTTGATGACATTAAAAATGAATCTACCTCATTCCTTCACTGATTCGAGGCGTTTATTGAATGGAGAAGCCATAACTTATTTGTTCCTCAACCAGGGGCACTTCTGTTCCCTAACCTTGTGCATCTCTGTGCGTGGACGGGCCGGACAGTGAAGACAACCGTGGTTTCCATCGCGTGTCCTTGTTTTTCGAGGAGACATTCATGGTCTTGGTCGTGCTCAGCGTGCTGACTCACGCAGAGAGCACTCGGAGCTTTTCCCTGCATGAGTCGGCAGCAGCCGTTCTAGGGTGAGCGAGACAAGGTTCCCAACTTACCGAGAAATCTGATGGGGCGGGCCTTGACCGCCGACTCGGTGGGCCCAGTTGTGACCGACCATCGAAAGCTGCCCGAGACATGGTTTGTCAGCTTCTCTCCTCCTCTCTCTTCCTTGCCACCAAACACTCACTGCCGTCTGCCGTGTACTCGGCATGGCCGCTGCTGCCGATCAGCTTCCAGTGCAGTGAAACACGTGACTCAAACATGGGAATGACCCGGCCGTGCCAGGGAAGGGCTGTCCTGAAGGCACTCACCGAGGGCTGCAGGAGCGAGGAAGGCGGCACGCGACCTCCCCGCGTGGACCCAGTGGACTGTGAGGGCCGCTCGGTGTGGCTCAGTGAACATTCGTGGAGAACTTCCCCGCTCCAGCGTCGGGGACAAGCTGAGAGTGTGCTGGCGCCCTCGGCCCTCTGAGCAGTGTCCTAGTTTGAACCAGCCGAGGGGGAAAGGGAATTGCACAAGAAGGAGTTGCCATCGAAGGTAACAATGTAACAAATTTCAGGGTTGCTTGAAGACGTGTTGTGTCTGTCACGTGTAGATGTCACATGCTATGTAGGAGAAACACACAGATTGTTGTACTGCAGGGACCCTTGCTGTCCCAGTAGCTCAGAAATTAAAGTTCTAGGAGTTTGCTGATAAACCACAGGTGTGGTTTGCCTGTGTTTTGTGTGTCCGCATACTCGGCTCTTCGCTCTCCCGTGTCGGCCTGGCCTGCGCCCTTCCTGCCCGGCTCACCTCCTCTCCGTGGATACACGAGGATTCCACAGACCAGGAAGTGGGGGCAGCGGGCCCTCCACAGCACAGGGTCTTCGGATTCTGCTCCGTTCTCGGGGAGCTTCTGGTGGGGCAGTTCCGCGCGGGGATTTTACTTGTCCACTGCGTCTCTTACACACCCGCTCGTTGCTTTCTCAGCCTCTCCCGTCAGTCTTCCAAACTGGACGGCCAGGCTCCTTCGCCTGACCCCCACCTGACGAATTACGGCTCTCAGCGTGTCCTGCGCCTGGGAAAGTAGCTGCTCAGCTCAGCCGAGGCGGGAGGAGACCCTGAGTTTGCGACCCTCAAGACTGGCCAGCTTCCCCTCGCTTGCTCCCCAGTGTCGGGGATCGTTTATAAAATGCAGATGGGAGATCCCCGTTGGTTCGTTCCTTGGGGTGGGATTCTGTCTAGTTTTGCCCATTTTGTGTATTTTTCTGCTGGCACCCAAGACCCATGGAAAGAAAGATGAAAGTATACTGTTTACTTTCGGCTTCAGCTTTGTGATGATACCCAGCAGTGAGTGCTGCCTGGGTCACTTCCGTCCAAATCAGGGCGTGTCGCCCTAGGCAACGGTGACTTGGGCGGGGGCCCTGACTCAGGGACATGGACAGCTGACTGTGGTGTTGGCTCCCACTGCATGTCCTGCGTCCACGGCAGGTTTGAAACCTTCCAGAAAACTCTGTAGCTGAGAAAACGTGTGTGGGCTGAGCGCTGCACTAGTAGATGCTAGAGCTGCAGTAGAGATTTTGAAAATCAAATTGCAGTTATTGTGAGAGGAAACGCTCTATTTGAATCACGTAATTTGGGATGTTCTCTGCTTATAATTTAGGGTAAATGGATCTTTGTATTCAATATTTTGTAAACTAAAAGAAAAAGAAAGGGGCCAATTTGATTTTTAAAAAAGCACGGACTTAACTACTTATTTTGAAAGCAGTTCAGAAAAGAAATTCTTAGTACATCAAATACCTAAATGGGAAAATTTATTTATTTTTTTTATGTACTACAACACTGAGCAGGAAGTTCAGGTGGCCATATAGGTCGCCTGGGGTTGTCAGAAACTTTTGAACAGGAAGGAAAACTGGAACCCGGTGAGGAAAGTTAGAGGTGTTCGATCAGTAACATTCTTCTAGTGTGACATTGGTACGCTGACGCAGGCTCAGGGGACGGACAGCCTTTGACGTGGAAATGTTACATACCCACCGAAGTGCCCGCAGCTGCCCTGAGCGCCTGGCGAGGAGGGCACCTGCAGGGCGCCGGCCCGGCCAGGGACGGGGCTGTTGGCAGAGAGGGAGCCTCGGGCCAGTGTGAGAGCCACACCCTCGCCGGCCCCCTGGGGGCGGAGAGTGACGGAGCCTGTGGGATGCTCCTGTCCGGTGGGGGCGCTTCAGACAGTGGGGGCTGACATGTCTGGGGGAACGCGAATTGTTTCCGTGTTTTCAAAGTGTACAAGTTGCCATCATGTTGTAGAAGTGCATTTATCATCCAGTCAGTGCGGCTCGGGGCACTGAGGGCGGCGCAGGCAGGCAGCTACCTCCGTGACGGGTCGGACAGACAGACAGCATGCTCCTGAGACTTCGCTGACCTCATGGTGCTTGTTGCAGCCTTGAACACTGAGTGCTGCGGCAGCGGCACTGGGGCGGGGGGGGGGGGACGAGATAGGCTGTGAGCCGGTGCTGCCGGTGCATAGCTGTGGACTGACATGCACGTGTGGGTGTATGAACACACACATGTAAACGAACTTGGGGGCATGCGCAGCAGTGAAGTGTGTGGACCAGAAGGTGTTGTGTTCCGACTGTCACCTTCGTGGTTGGACACTGTTTAGTTGTGCATTTACATCACTGGGTTTTCAGCTCTGGCTGAGTTCCATAGCCAGCCCCGGAGCCAGGAAAAGTGACCAGCCGCCCCCACCCCCACCCCCGACCCCAGCCGGCACCGGCTGGTGCCAGCATCTCCACGCACAGGACGTTCTGCAGTTTGTGCTGATGGCAAACCCCGGTGCAGCTGGGCAAGCCGCGCCGTGTCCGCATCCTGCAGTGTTTAGGGGCCGGTTGCCTCTGGGGGCTCCCACGAGTGTTGTTAAGTGACTGGGTCAAGAGGCAGGGTGGCTGCAGGCTGTGACCCCGTGCTTATAAACCAGACAGTGACGGGCTCCGCACTCCTCCAAGCGGCCACTCTGGTGCCGCCTTGGAGACTCAGAGCACCTCCCCCCGAGGGGCAGTTCGCGCTGTCCCCCGAGTCTCTGTGCCCAAGTCACCCCTCGCCAGCAGGAGATAGCGGGACTGTCGCCTCTGTGGGCAGACACGTTGACCATCTGCCTGAACATGAAGGGGCCCCCAGCACCTTGGCTTCCAGTGAGTGTGCTGGACACAGCAGTTCTATGAATGTGAATTCTGTGATTTTTAGAGTAACAGATTGTTAGCGTGTGCCAACAGGACCCCCACCAGGCAGGTCGCAGGTGTGTCCTTGTGCCGTGTGGGCAGACTCTGCCTTGAACCCGGCGGGGGGACTCACTGCGACCTTGAGTCAGGGATTTCCGAGTGCCTTCAGCACGGACGGGCGCCAGTCCTTAGTCTGACGGCGAGGGTCCGGGCGGTTCCCTTCCGCTCAGCACCTGAGGGAGCGCAGCGGTCGAGTGAGCGGGTTCTGCGTCCGTTTGGCGGCCGATCCCCACCGTTGCTGTGTGTCCTACGGCTCTGGGCACTGCGCTCCGTGGACGAGTGGGAGTGGCTTACGCAGCGGAGAGGGAGGAACGGCGCCTGCTCCTGGTCTGGGCGACAAGGCCGGAGCGCCACCGACTGGGGAGGCTGTGCGGGCCCCAGACCTTCAGTGGGGACACTTCCCGAGTGTTCGCGGAATGGTGGCTCCGCCACGCAGCAGCGTTGTCTTCCTCCCCTGAGGTTTTCGGGGTGCCAGCGTCGGACAGAAAGCTTCCCGAGGGAGTACGGTTGCAGTCCGGGTAAAGTTGGGATCTCAGGGCACGAGAAGACACGCTTCTTGTGCAAAACAGAAATCACTGAGCTGGTGCCTCACACCCGGGTGCAGGCGATGCTTCAGTTGTGGGGCCGGTGTGCCGCGTGAGTGAGCTGGCTTGACTGGGTGAGGGGGGTCGTCATCACAGCCAAACCCTCTGGGGCCTGTTTTGGGGGTGCTCTCTCCTCTCTCCTTCCCCACCAAAAATGTGAACAGTAGTGAAATACGATAGTTCACCTGTAAAGACGAACATTAGATTGCTAAGTAGCATATCTTCGTCTGCCTAGCAGTGTTCTTGGTGTACCTGGGTGAAAATGCCTGAATCTGATGAATTTCCCTTTTTCTTTTAGGCTCAGTCTATGAACCTCTTAAAATCACTCATCTTCCGAGATCCGACCATGAGACCCTGTGGGACAAGCTGGATCGCTACTACGGGATCGGTGAGCGGGCCGGAGGGCCCCTGTCCTGGGGGCTCCCCGCTCCGCCTGGTGTGTGTCACGCACATCCACGTGGGGCGTCACAGCTAAGGAGGTTGGCTGGGGTGGCTGAGCGCGAGGCTGTTTGTGCCCCTAAGCTGAGGATCTCAGAGCCATCAGAGGTGGGTTGAGGCCAAGGTGGCAGGAGCCCGGGACGTTGGGTGGGTACAGTCCGCGCTCTCTCGCCTTCCACTGCAGTCAAGTCCACGCTGCTGCGCTATCAGAGCCCAACCACGGGCCTCTTCCCCACGAAAACATGCGGCGACGACCATAAGGCCAAGGTGCACGACAGCCTGTACTGCGCCGCGGCGGCCTGGGCACTGGCTCTTGCGTACAGGTGAGCTGGGTGCGCACTCGCCTGCTCGGGTCTGCCCGGGAGGGGGCTGCCCCGATGTCCTCCGGCTCTGCCGCCGACTCGCTGCGTGACGTGTGACTGCTCACGTCTCTGTCCAGGCCTCTGGCTTCCCTGCGGGTCACACGAGACTAGGTTTAACAGGTGACCCAAATTTCTCGTGCACGTGGGCCCTAGTCTTGGCTGGGGGAAGGGCCGTTCTCGTTAGGTCAGCTGACGTCCCGTCACAGAGGGACTTGGTGGTGGCTGGACCGTGCGGATGGCGGAAGATTTGTTCAGAACCGCTCGGCCGTTGCGGTGCAGCGGGGCCGGGCCTGCCTCCGGTCCACCGCCCCAGCACAGGGTCTTTCTCTCTGCGCTTCACCGGGGCGGGGGGGGCGGGGTACTGGTTTCATCTGGTTGAAAGCGAAACCATTTTATAAAGGAGAAAATATCTTCATACAACGAAGAACTTCTCCTTACTTGTTTTATTACACATCGAAAGCACCCACCTCTGGCACGTTGCCAGAGGTGACACATTTCAGCCGTCACTCACCCTTCGGTTCCCGAAGGTCCATTTTCCAAGGGTGACCTGCGCTGGTGCCTCTGATGTGAGAGTTGCATCTTTCACACAGACACGACTCCTTGGTCTCAAGTCCCCGACCTGTTGCGTCTGTGAAGGGAAAGCAAATACCAAGATGGCACGGAGCACGCTTGTTCCAAGTGTCAGCGCAAGCATTTCTTCCCACAGTCCGTGCGAGTGCGGTGTGACAGTCAGGCTGCCACTCGGCCTGGGGGTGCTGGGCACCGTGGGCACCTCACCCCGGGTCAGGCCGGTCGCGGGGCGGACCGGCATCCGGCGCCTTCTGCCGTGACACGGTGGTGAGCGGGCATCGCTCATGTTGAGTCCCTCCCAAAACGGGCAAACGGACCTGCTGTGAACAAAACGGCGAAGCCAGGGGGTGGCTTCTGCAGATCGGCCCGGACGCCTGGAAACGCAGCTCCCGTAGGCGATGAGAGTGTAGGTGGCAAAGCGGCCAGGTTAAGACTAAGAGGAGCGTGACGACCGCACGCAGCGCAGGGCACTTCACCGAGTTGTGACCAAGGTCGTGCGCTGAAAAGAGCACCGTGAAGTGTGTGTCGGGGACACCCGGGTGGAGTCGGCGCAGAACACGCGTCAGGTAGTGTCGGCATTCAGTGCCGTGCGTGACGGCGGTGCCGTGGTTGTGTAGGAGGATGTTCTTGTTTTTAGGAGGCACCTCTTTAGTGTGTAGGGGTGAGGGTGTTTGTAGTTTTCCTTCAAATAGTACAGAAAAGAAATCAACAGGAAGAGAACGCAAGCTGATCTTTACAACCAGCAAGCCCGAGCGAAGAGGAAGAGGTGTATTCATTGTAGTTCCTTTTAGCTTTTCTATAGATTTGAAATGTTTCTAAAGGAAATCTGGGAACATTGCTTAAAAAATACAAGAAAATAGAGTTTTCCCGTGAGAATTTATACATTTGATACGTGCATCACATTAACAAAACAATACCTACATCACATTAACAAAACAAAGGATAAGGAACATAAGATCTCAATAGATTCAGAAAAGGCATTTGACAAAATTCAACATCCTTTCTATAATAAAAACTCTCACCAAAGTGGGAAGGGAAGGGACACATCTCAGCGTAGCAAAGGCCCAGATGACCAGTGCACGGTCAACATCGTCCTCAGTGGTGAGACGCCGGAAGCCTCTCTTCTGGGATCAGGACCAGGACGAGGAGGCCGCTGTCAGCCCTCCGCCCCACACAGCCCTGGAATCCTCGCCGCAGCGCTCAGACGAGGGGAAGGAGTGAGAGAGGTCGGATCGGAGAGGAAGAGGGAAACTTATTGTTTGCAGATGACATGATGCTGTAGAAAGAAACGTTGGAATGACTACGTGACTGCAGTTGAATACGAGTACAGTTGAAGGGAGCAGGATCGACACCCGGGAATCGGCTGCATTTCATACGCCAGTGACCAATGATCAGAAGAAGAAATTGGGAAAACGATCCCATTTACAGTGGCATCAGAAAGTACAAAATAGCTAGGAATCAATGTGACCAAGGAGGAGGTGCCCTGCGGCAGTGGCCAAGGAGAGGAGGGTGCCCTCCTGCAAGATGCCAGTCTGTTCCCTCCGGCGTCACATCTGTCGCTGGTCGAGGGGCTGAACAGGTGGCCCTAGTTAGAGCTGGTGAAGAGTGACGTCACCAGCTGTTTCTGACGCTGTTTTCCTTGAAGTTTGCCTGGAGTAATGCACCAGTGATAGGGTTCGGGTGTTTACTTTGTTCACTAGCGATATAATTGTAAGTAGGGAATTCTGGTTTAGATATGAAATTAAGACTTCATGTTATAAAAATATCCGATCGGTACTTGCATAAAACCTGTGATCAATAGATTGACTAGAATTAAATTTAAAGTGGTTTCATTTAATTTTTAAAATTAAAACTGTTCTTCAGCTCATATTAGAACTTGAATTTGCATACATATAGCTTGCTAAAAAAAGTTGGCTTGCCAGTTCCTGGTGGAAAGTGGGGGAATTATTTGGCTAACTAGATTTGTAAATACGTCTGACGCCCAGATGCTCTCACCCAAATGCAACTGCTCCTTTGTTTCCTCATGTGGAAGAGAGCGTTGCGGCTGCTCTTCCATTTGCGGGAGCAACAGGACAGCTTCATTAAAACAGATTCTTCATCGCAGCAGAACTCTGCTGGAATATTTTCATCTTGGTTTAATGCTTGTTGAAATTAGAGGCAGGGAATTATTTCAAAGACACTTTCAGAAACACTTGGTTTTATTTCATTCTGAATCAGGACTGTGTGTTGGATGCGGTGGGACGTGTACACAGCACATTGTGTGGACCCCATTCGTCCCCCGCTGTGCTGTCGCCCCCACGCGCGGCCCGCGGCTGTCCCTGCTCCGTTTGCCTGCATTGGACTGCTCGTGTCTGACACGGGGGTGGGGGAGTGGAGCGCAGGGCAGAGTCACACTTGTCTCGCTGCCTTGCCTGCCTAGGAAAGGAAGGGTGACGTTCCCACAGTGGGCGGCCTGCCTTCTCACTGACCCTCACCACGCCATGGTCCCGGTTCTTCCCGATGGGGTCACTCCGGTCTACTGGTTGAGGAGACGGGACACACTTTGTCAAGTGGGGATGGTCACCAGATGTCTTAGTTCAGATTTAGTGAGATGAGGAGCAAGCCCCTTTTATTTTTCAGTCCTGGGGACTCTCATCTGTGTTGAGGACAGAGGAGCCCTTGGCCACATCCAACAGTTAAGTGTTAGCTGTTCTTTCTTTCCAAAGACAAGTGATGTAATCTATGGTCAGTGGATTTTAAACAGAGACCTGAGAATATACAACGTCCTGCCCACATCCGTCTCGTGTCACGCTGGTGTGTTTAGTTGAAGGTGTGCCGGGCTGAAGTGCCCACTGTTCACCGTTAGACAGTTATCCGACTGTGTGGCAGAGCACAGAAGGCTGCGCCCACTGTAAGCTGTGTTTCCTTCACTCCAAGTGCCGTTGCACAACCTAGAGGGCTTCCTATTAAAGACCGCCTCTACCCTGTGACAGTGAGTTTAAAAAAATCTTTTGGTAGACTTTTCCAATATAGAAATCTCCTTGAAAATTTCAGCCAAGTCAGTGCGGAAAACACTGTGTGCTATTTTTGAAGCGGTTGGCTTACGTCCTCAAAAGAAGGAGAAATCTCCACAAGTTTCATCATGGGATTCTTCTTCTTTTTCGCAGTAACTCTGCATCTGCTGGGAAAATGGAGTTTCACTGTCCAGAGTTAGCAGATGTTGCCAGAACCCAGGATGAGCCAGAGAGTTAAACCCTTAATTATCGGAAGCGCTGCTCCTTCCTTTCCTGCCCGTCTCCGGTTCTCTGACAAGTTGTCTCGCTGCTGCAGGCGCATCGACGACGACCAGGGGCGGACCCACGAGCTGGAGCACTCGGCCATCAAGTGCATGCGCGGCGTCCTCTACTGCTACATGCGGCAGGCGGACAAGGTGAGAGCGCGGGCCGGGGCTCCATCCCCGTCCCTGGGGCAGCTTTCAGGGGGGGCGCCACGCCCGGGGCGGTCCGGGAGGCCCCGCGAGCCTCTGCGCTCCCAGCATTTCAGGCTTTAAAAGACCAAGACTGAAGAAGCCCCAGAGTGCGGGCCGGGCCGTTATCCAGCCTGCAGTTCGTTGTGTTTTGCTTCTGGCGTTCGCTTGATGGAGACTCAGTCTCGGCGGGGGGGGGGGGCCCACCACATCCCCAGTTCTGCCCGCTCGAGAACATCCTTACCACAGTGCCCTCTGGACTCAGGAGCGCGCCGGCCAACGAAGATGCTGGTTCGAAGTGTTAAGGCTTCATCTCCGAGTTGGGAGGGCAGGAATCATGGACTCAGAAGCCAGCAGACCGGACGGGGCTGTGGTGGAAGTTGGCGAGACTGTGTGAACCGTGGAGCGCCACGCACTAAAATGAGCTGTGTCCCTGCGTGCCAACTTCTGTGTGTCCCCAGGTCCTGAAGCCACGTGTCCACATATGTGACGAGTGTGTCATGAGTCCCCAGGCCACCTGCCCCTGGCGGTGGTTCTTTAGTGGAGATGCACACTGGCGATTCTACTGACAGTTTTAATTATGTGGCATTTTTTATGTTTTTATCATGAGACTATTACATGATTTTAATTTATGCTTGGAAAGGGTAGAAAATGGGATGGCCCATTTGCTTCTTAAGACCTATATCCAAAGTTAACACTTAAAAGAGAAATCATCTCTATCCTGCCACCAAAACATGGGAACAAGAAGTTGTAACTCGGCAGAAGTGGTTGACACACCAGCTGGTCCTGCAGCCCTGTGCCGAGCTGGTGCATCCCTGCCGAGAGTCGGCTGTGCGGACCGTTAGGGTGAAGGTGTGTCGATGCACGGGATGAGGTCCCCCCCCCACGTGCTCCGGTTAAACTAGTGTGTCACATGCATGGAGTGATAGTGGTCGAAGTCACCGCTTTGTGTGCGCAGTGAGCCGTGTGCGAACGGCTGGCGTCCCTGAACCCAACTCCCTGCGAGGAAGCGCCGAGAGCCCAGAGCTTTGTGCGTTTGCCGCACAAGCCGACGGCTGTCCCCGGAGGGCGCGCTGTCAGAGACGTGCTCTGCGCTCCTGTGTTGGATGGTGCAGGGGCCACTCGTCACACGTGGCTGTTGGGCACTCGGAGTGTGAACAGCGTGACTGCGGGACCGAACCTTCAGATTTAATTGTGATTTAATTAGTCCCCTGCAGCTAGTAGCTGCCCTGCTGGGTCTCGTAGCTTCTAGAAGCTCATAAAAGTGTGGTGGGGACAGGCACCAAAGAAAACAGAGTGAGCAGAAACACGGAGGGGCAAGGCCCCTGATGAGAGTCCCGAGGGCAGAGGGCACTTTGCAGAAGAAGGGGCTTCTGTGGCAGGAATCTGAGGGGGGCTCTGTGGCGCGGAGCGGAGTCCATCGCTCTGTGCGGCTCTCGCAGCCACAGCAGCGCCGGGGCCGTTTGTATCTCCGCCCTTTCGGAGACGTCACACAGAATCGTCACACGTCACTCTGCTCACCCTCTGCTCCTGACGTCTCCTGCCCCCGGGGACCAGCCTGGCACTCGGCACACAGTCGGGGCCAGCGGACGTCTGCCTCGCTGAACTGGACAGGTGGATGGGCTTTGTCATCCAGGGGGCTGTCTGTTAGATCGTGTAGTACGCAGTTTGTGTTCTAAAATGTTAAGTTTTACGTTCAAGAAATGAGTGAAGGTGTAGACCGTGTTCTCGTAGACTTGTTGCCACAGGAACAAGAGTCTTGGTGGAAAAGTTGGGGAAGGCATGTTGACCGGGCTTAGGCTACACTTTGTGATCCGCCCAGTGAGGAAGAAACCATCTGGGCAGGTCGGAGTGCGGCCCGGACTGGAGTGCGGCCCGATGCCCTCGTTCGCAGAGTGCCATAGGGCGGCGCTCCCAAACTGCCGCGTGGTGGGGTGCAGACCTGCAGCTCCTGCCCCGCAGAGTGAAGCCCTCTTTCGCTCTGAAATAAGAGGCAGGACATCCGTTGTGACCACATGGGCTTGCTCCCTGTGACACCTGAGTTGCCGTGAAATATCAGTGAAATACTGAGCAGTCGAGTTAGCTCTGCTCAGTTGCTAGTTACCAGTTGTGTTGGGTTTGTCTCTGTGGAAAAGGGAGCACTTGTGCGCTGTTCCACCCTCCCCACGGGTCGGCCGTGCCCTCCCCCCCCACATTCAGAGGTTTAACTTGGTCATCTCGGGTCCTGGCTTGAAGGGCAGGGAGCACCCTGTGACCCCGCCCTTCGCCCCCAGGTGCAGCAGTTCAAGCAGGACCCGCGCCCCACCACGTGCCTGCACTCCATCTTCCATGTGCGCACTGGCGACGAGCTGCTGTCCTGCGAGGAGTACGGCCACCTGCAGGTAGGCGCCGAAGGGGGCGGTTCTGCTGCTCCTCTCCTCCCACGCTGCGCGTGGCTCGCAGGTGGACGCCCTGCGGCCCCGTTTCTGGGAGGCAGACACTGCTGCCTCCTGTGGGTGCCCCCTGCTCACCTTCTGGTTCTGCAGCCTTCGGGAGAGGACACGCATTAGTCGCTATTTCCTCCTGAAACGAGGATATCTTTTTTTATAGTTCCTCTCTTCCCAGCCCTCAGAAACGTCTTGCTTTAGAGTGACTCCCAAATGCAGTGCGAGGCCCCCATTCCGACACAGCAGAAGCTGTTATACTTATTTGTAACCCTCAAATGGACACATTGTTTCTGAGCCTTCTCTTTGTACTCACCACGTGATCAGGATTTGTGTGCCCTTTGCTTTGACAAGTATGTTTACCATCGGAAACAGGGTTTTCAGGAGTTAGGGATGCGTTGGTCTTTGTATCCATTTATTTTTGTGTCCCAGAACGCGTTAGCTCGGCTGGCTCCGTAGCAGGTGTTCAGCAAACGTTGGCCACCCAGGTACTGGGCAGTCCCTTCACAATTTGTCACTTACCGATAGTTTCTCACAGAAGCACTCCAAAAGGCAGAGCAGCAAGCTCCTGGAGGTATGGCCCTAAATGGTGGCCCGTAGGAAAGAAATCTGTCCGAGGCCGTCTCTGACAGGCCAGGGTCAGCGCTGTGACTGGACACTCGGGTGCCTGGCAGCAGGGGAAGGCCCTTCTCCACCACGTTCTGAGACTGTCACTCAGAAGTTCACATCCATCCAAATTGCCCGAAACCAGAATCCTGCACCCTTCTGTGTGACCCATTGGATCTGGATGAGCCCATTCCACCCACAGAGCGTTAGGGGCCAGGTGGTCAGGAGCCCTCCGGGGTCACCCCCGCTGCTGTGAGCCCCCAGTGCCGCCCCCGTCGGCCCCTGTCCCCGTGAACGTGCCTGTTCTGTGCGTCCCTTGTAAACGGACTCGCTCGGCGGTGGGCGTTCTGGCCCCTGCTTTCACCGGGCACGATGTTGTCGAGGTTCTCTGCTTGTCGGCCGGAAATGGCTTCCAGAGCCCGTTCAGGGGTCGGCCAGCATCTCCTGTTGTGAAAGTGGATGTTGTCATCTTCATTTTTTAAGTTTAGATCATATAACGTCCATCTTTAATAGACTAATAGAGTAACAGCAGAAAACCCAGTTTATAAAGCTCACTTGTTCATAAGCAGATTTTAGATTCTGTGCTGTGTACCACTGATTAACATTAACACACATCCGCAGTTGCGTTCCTAAGTCCTGTTTTCTCTGAAAGGGAGGCTGCTACCAGACGTGCACCGTTTGTGGTGTGTGGGCAGGGTCCCCGTGTCCTCCCCAGCAGGGCTGCCCTGACATGGCCGCCTCGGGGGCAGAACTGCCCCAAGGCAGGAGAGCTTTAGCCCCAAGGTCAAAAACGAGTCTTTGAAAAAGCTGTGGTGGCAACACCCGCCCAGAGTCACCCTGTGGCCGTTTCCCTGACGGGTTTCTGGCCTCGGGAGCGGGAGCGTCTCAGACGAAGCTGGGCCTCGATCCCGAACCCGGCCCACAGCCCCCGTGTTTCCCGTGGGAGGGAGCCAGTTTCCCTGGGCGGGGCGCATGCCTTGGGACTCCAACTTCACATGTACCTTCGCACCGTCAGGGCCGTGTTGGCCGAGCCTCTGACCCCGCACCGCTCTCGTTGCAGATCAACGCCGTCTCGCTGTTCCTGCTCTACCTGGTGGAGATGACCTCCTCCGGCCTGCAGATCGTGTACAACACGGACGAGGTGGGCGGCGGGCGCCACGCCCCTGCGGGCGCCTGGGGGTTTGTGCTTAAAACTTCTACCAGCTTCACAAAAAGTGGCTTATTCTGCAATTCAGAAAATCGTAACTTTCGGGAAATTTTAGTAACGATGAACGTAAAATAGCATTTGCAGATTTTGTTATTACGTTTCTTTTTTACGCATTAGCCCTGTTCGTCACCCATCCTTTTGAGAGTAGAAGGACACTCTGATCATGTTGTATTTTTTATCTGCGGGGCCTCTCAGTAGGGTTCCTGCGGTTTCCAGACGCTCAATGCCACGTCCTGATTCTCACTGGGAATTTGGACCGACTTTCTCTCCCCGGGTCGCACGGAGTTTCCTTCCTGGGCGGCGATGCCGGGACACACAGGGACGCCCCTGGAGCCAGGCGCCGGCCAGACCCAGGCTCCTGGCCCTGCACTGGGCGGGGCCCTCGGGAGGCGCGCTGGTCGCTCCTCCTGTCCCGGCGTCCAGGCAGGGGACATGTGGTCTCACACCTGCCACCAGGGTCATTCGTGGGCCGCACACGGCTGCTGGGGGCTGACCCGTGCAGTCCTACCACCTCACACACTGTGGTCTTGTCAGACCCTCCAGCTGTGTCTTTTGCTTATAATGAAAGACCACTTAGAAGGGAGGAGAAATGACAAAGAAGAAAATATGATGCGAAGAAATTAATAATAACCACTAAGGTTTCTTCTGTTTGGTTCGTCAAAGAATGACATGCTGTCATTTCCTCTAAATTGCTCTCATTTTTACTAGATTGTGAAGAATACTGGTGTTCAATACTCTGGGTGGAGAAGGGGTCGGGCCTCCTATTTCGGACCAGTCTTAGGCAGCGTCCTGAACATAAAACAAACACAGGACGTGTCACTCTCCGGGGGCGGAGGGCTCCCAGAACCAGCCCCTTGAGCTTTTCGTGTCTCCTCCCCCTGGGGGCCGCCCCCTGCACCCCAAGGAGAGGCCGTCAGGCCCTGCAGAGCCCCGTGAGGACCAGTCACAATAAGGAGCCGCTCTGAGGGGCGCCTGTGGCTTCCCGTCACTGTTGCTAACGGCAGCAGGGCCGTTGCCCTCGTCCACTGTGGCTCTGTTTTATTTGGTATTTTATTTTCGTTTTCAATTTTTAATGCTTATTATTTTGCTTTCTCAGTATCTGCCATAGTTCACTTTAAGTCTTCATTGGCGAACTGATGTTTTTTGTAAATACAATATTGCTTGAAACACGGCACTCTGTTTTGTGCGGCTTCATTACCCGTAAGCAGTTTTTTTTCTTAAATGTATTTATTGTTTTATGATGCTTTTTTCGACCTTCGAGGTTTCATTGGGTAACGCACCACTTTTATGTGGCCAATGCTCACGAGCCTCCCCGCGTGCACGTCCAGTCCCGGGACGGTAAGACACGCGTGCACTCCACTCCGCAATTTCGCCTGGAGGTTCTGGGGACCGGGCCAGGGATCCGAGGGAGAGGCCTGCATCCGGGGGGGTGGGGGGGTGCAGCATCTCCCCGGGAATGAAGTGCCTTTTGAGATAGGGTCTGTTCCCCTTGGACACGAAGACTTTGAACCGTCCCACCAATCCAAGGGTGGGGGTGGGGGGACCTCTCTCCACTGCAGAGGGCTCTTGTGAAGGGCGGCGGGCAAATGCCGGCGCTCAGCGTGCGGTACCTGAGGACGAGACCGAAACCCTACAAGCAGGGCCGGCAGCCCCCGTGAGAGAGCGCCCTTGTGAAAACGAACGCACTTGCACTGCAGAAGAGCTGACCGTAGCCCTCGCTCTCATCACTGTTTTCTAGAGTGTGAATTTCACCGACTGTCTGGAATTTTTACCTGGAAGCCCTGCGGCTCCTGGGCTGTGGTCTGGAGCCGCCTCCGCCCGCCAGCCCTGAGTTAAAGCCGGCAGAGCCGGCGGCTGCAGCTATGGGCAGGCAGGAGGGGGGACAGATTCTGGGTGCAGCAGATGCCGGACTCTAGGCGGGCCCCCCGGGGCTGGCTTGTTGCAGAGCTGAGCAATGCCTTTCTATTGCCAGAGTTTAGACTTATTCAACATTTCATGTGGGCATTTTAGATTCCAAGCAGTATCTGCTATAAAGCAGTGCTTCGAATTTTAGGTCTCAGGAGGCCGAGCCCTCACGGATGGCAGTAGAGGCACCTGGGAAGCATCACCGGTGCGGCAGGGCAGGGCTCCAGCCTCAGTTCTGGGTGGCGTGATGTTAGGGCTTTAGGCTCTGCGTTAGAATGGCCGGGCCCGGCGCAGTGTTTGTAGTGACACAGGTCCCCCGGGGGCTCGGCGTGTCGGAAATGGGTCCAAAGACGAGGACGCCTTGGGGTTTCCGATGGCAGCTGACCGGTCCTGTCACCCCCAGACAGCTGTCGCTGCACGGTGCTCACGTTTCCTTCCTTCCCCGCAGGTCTCTTTCATTCAGAACCTCGTGTTTTGTGTGGAGAGAGTGTACCGGGTGCCCGACTTCGGGGTCTGGGAAAGAGGGAGCAAGTATAATAACGGCAGCACGGAGCTGCATTCGAGGTAACTTGCTGATTTCTGGGTTTTTAAAAAAAATTCAAGTGAGTGAATTTGAATATGAATAAGAATCAGAGTGTTAGATTGGAGCTGTAGTTTCTATGTTAATTTCTATCTCTTAAAATTAAAGCAAAGGAGTCGGCTCCCAGCACCCATGAGCAGATGCGGGGGTGGGGGTGGGGGTGCGGGAGCAGGTGTCTCTCCCAGCCTCCCGGCGTCAGAACCGCACGCCCACGCCAGGCCCCCACCAGGCCCGGCCCTTCTGCCCAGCCCGCCCTGCCCTTCCTCCCTTCGAGGAGCGGCTCTGAAGGATCAGGCCCTTCTCTGCAGCCATACACTCGTGTGCGTGCACTGCCTGCGACTCTCCCTCCCAGGTCCCAGAGCTGGTTTTCACCCTCACCAGGCGTGCTCACGCCTTTCACGTCCACCTGACTTGCCTCACTTTCTGGACAGGGGTGATCAGCCCCTGGAGCTGGGCCCCCGTGGGTTTGGAGACACCTCAGTGGCTGACAGTGGATGGTTGTGGCTTTCGGGCTCCCTTCACCCCTTGGGCTGGGAAAGGGCCTCAGGGCCTGCCCGCCCCTCCCGGATGCTCTCGCTGGACGCCCAGGAGCCGCCCTCCAGCTGAGAAGTGCTGCTCGGCTGGTCCTGTCCGCTGCAGGGTTTAAGAGTTCGAAGGCTGTGAGTGCTAGGTCAGCGTCGACCACTGAGGCTCCAGTGAGGCAGAGAAGCAGCCTAGGGAGCACTGGTTGGGGAGGGGGGCGGTCTGCCGCACTGTACTTTTCGGCTGGAAGGGCTGGTCTCAGAAAACGCCAGGCTGATGTAAGATACTTAGTGAATGCAGAACGGCTCCTGATAGCTGTGTAAGGCCTCCGATGCTCTAGTTTCCTCATCTGCAAAGTGAAGGTAGTGATGGGTTCTCCTTTATGAAGGTGTTGGGATGATCTTGTTAACACGCATGCATGCTAACACATGTGTATGTGTGCGTGTGTGTATATATATGCACACCCCCATGTTTTATATGTATACAGCACCTGAACGCCTGCCATAAGTAAGCCCCGGAATACAGTGTACACGTACTTTTCACAGTATTTTAATGACAAAGCTTGAAACGAAAGGACCTTTCAATTAAGGCCAGTTAACTGACATCAGAACACTTCTCTGTAAGGTTTGTCGTTCATCCGAGGCATTTCTACAGGGCACAGCCGAACAGTGGTGATCCCTGCGGGCGTCGCTGAGGCGGAGACGTGACTTGCAGGAAAGTGCTGTTCAGACGTTAAACAAACTCTGACAGATAAAAAATAGGGAGATAACGTTAGACTTCCACCATCATCCAAATTCAGTTCTCAGCATTCCAGATCATCAGTCAGATGATAAGAAAAAAGTGGACTTCACTAGAAAAGGGGATTTTGAGAAACACACCTGTCTCCGGGCCCCGTCTGCTTTTTAATAACCATGTGACGTACAGGCCGATGCGATCGCCCTGTTGTTGTTTTGGGTGTAAAGTATTGGGAGCAGGGTTTTCAGTTCACAAAAACTGTAGCTCAGGGTGTACTCACTGGACGCTGTGGGCAGTGTCTGGGAAAGCGACTCTAAGGGAAAGATGTTTGACCACACTGCGGGGACCCGGGCCAGGCCGCCCGCACAGAGGTGAGCACCTGTGGCTTCCAGTCCCAAAGCATCACCGGACTTCTAAACAAGGACCCTGAAAGGAATGGGAGCGGTGCACACATTTAAAACGGGCTGAAGAAAACGAGTAAGAGAAGGGTCTTCTGGCTGGCTTACTTCATGTCAGGGCGCCTTCCGCAGCCGGGTCGCTTACATGCCCGGGACAGTGTAGAAACATCTGTGGGACGCGGGGGGACTGGGTTGCCCAGAGGAAGCCCATGCGATGTTGTTTGAGGACCTACTGTGAACCCACAAAGAACCCTGGGTAAAAGTTCCGTTCACTGTAGAAAGGGAGGGTGTGGAAGGTGCCTAGTGAGAAAACAGCTGCTCCAAATCGTTTTCCTGTGACCCGGGTGCCAGTCTTGACAGCAACGTGTAAAGATTTTATTTCAAGGCTTGGAAGGTTGTTATGTGATATTCTTTGCTACCCTTTGCATGCAAAATTAACCCTAATTTTAGCAAGCCAATTTTATGCACATAGATGGGAAATGAAGTTTGTCTTTTCGATTCAAATGATGGGTTTTATGTGTTTAACATTTTTTCTTCTAATTTTTTATAGCGAAACACTTTCCAGTTCCCCAAAGTGATTTGAACATATTTTCTTAAATCTTCTGGGCTCTGGAGGAGCCCATTCTGGGTGTGTCCCATGGACACCTGAGGCTGAAGGGGTCAGTGAGGTGGAGGAGTAGTTTGGAGGGGAGTTCAGTTCAGTTTGAAGGCGTAGGGAGGCTTGCCCCTGGGTGCCATGCGGGGTGGGGGTCCTGGGTGCTGGTGCAGGGCCACCGCCAGCCTTTCACTGTGTTCGTCCTCTCAGGCCACTGCACTGGGCCCCCCGCTCTGGGTCCAAGTGCACTTCCACTGCCCTTTGCCCCTGGCTTCCTGTGTGTCCACCCCGCAGTCCGCATCCGCGCTCCAGAGAGAGCAGAGCATAATCTGACCGTCGCCTTGGTGCTCTCGGGGGCCTGGGCTGGAGTGAACGGCTCAGTAAACGACCTTTTCCCTCCCACCCACGGCCGTTCCTCAGCTGCACTCTGATCAGAGAGAGCCCCCCAAACACGCAGTGTTCTGAAGCCAGAGGCCAAGCTCTTCAGCAGCCATGCCCAGGGGTCCTGTAACAGTTGCAAACCAGCCCAGCCCAGCTGGGACGCCAGGTGCTCTGCTGTGTCACGGGGCATCTGGGCCTGGAAGGATTCTCCCAAGCTGGGAAGCACAGCGGAGCCTGGATCGTGGGGTATTTCTTAGCTAAACCCCAGAAGTTTTTTTTTTGAAAGGCAATCTCATTGCATTTAGCTGAACCCCGTTCTAGCAGCAGCCTCACCCCTCCCAGGGCTTGCGGACCCGGGCTGGGCGCTGTGCGCTCACCGTGATTCTCTTAAACTGTCTCCTGAGCAGCCGCTCCCTGCTCTCCAGGCTTTTTGGTCGACTTGGCTCAGGCTGCAGGCCCCTGTCCGTCTCTCCCGGGGCGTGTGCAGCCTCGCCAGAGCTGCCTCTTCTCCGAGCATCTGTCTTTTAATAAATGCCCGCGCTTTTGTTTTATCTTATTTTGAATGACAGCTGGCATGCAATATGATGTTAGTTTCGGGTGTACAACACAGTGAGTGGACGTTTATGTAACGTACAGAGCGACCCCCTGGTGAGTGCAGCGCCCGGTGCCATGCACAGTCACTGCAGCATTAACCAGTGTTGCTGACGGACTGTCACCACACACTCCCTGGGCTGGGCCCGCCGTCCTCGGGACCGTCTCGCCTCTGCCATCTGTGCCCCCAGGCCCCTCATCCCTTCACGCGGCCCCCAGCGCCCCTCCGCTCTGCATGCTGCCCATTTAAAAATCCTGCGGTATCTGACCAATGGCATCGCCTCCCCGTGTCTCGCTTTGGTACCTGTTTCTTGTCACCGTGATTCTCAGCCCCCAGAACTGCAGATCCAAGTGGTCGCAGCCGCTGCGAGTTTACACACTTTGATCCCCGTTTCCCTCTACTTACTGACTAATGTGAGGAGGGGCCGCTCCCTGGGGCCACCTTTGAACCCACTCTCTGTTCTGGAAAAGAGCTGAGTCTTCTGGGATACGCGAATCACACCCCAAACCTGACCTTGAATTTGGTGGCTGTCAGAAGCAAACCGGAAGGTGGTGCTTAATGAACTAACAGTGTGGGGGTGTGCCCCCGGGGGAGGAGACGGTTCCGAAATATGAACGGCTAACTAGAACTTTACAGTTAACAGCATGATTTAATTTTTTACTATGTGAAGTCTGGTGTTTGCAACATAAAGACTGTACATGCAAAGAGAGTTTAAACCCGATTTTTCAAGGCTTTTTTTTTTCCAAGCAGCTGTTATGTTTCACTCTCCCGGCTTTTCCAGTAAGAAAGCCATCGCTAACCCGTCAGATAAGCAGCCACTGCAGCACCACTTTACCCAGCGGAGGTGCTTTTAGTGACCATCTCATTCCACCTAGTGCTCGTCAGTAAGGTCACTACTTAGCCTTGAGTCATTTCTGCTGTTCGGTCTTTGAGCTGGGATAGAAGCAGCCATCTGCTCTGCTTCGCTGTCTGTGTTTTTGCCACACGGAACAATCCGGGAACATCCATTGTGACCGCAGTTCCCTGGGGCCCCCTTTCTTTGAGGGGGTTTGATTGGGCAGCTTGCGGAGCTAAAGCGCAGCTCTCATCAGCAGGGGCTTTGACTTCAGTCCCCACGTTTGGCAGCCAATTTGGGGGTTCCGTGGTGGACTGGTAAATCTCCCAGTCTACAAGTGCCGATTTACACGACAAATCGCCTGGTTACCAACTGTCTCCCAGGCGAACCTCCCTTTACTTTAGCTCTGAACAGAGTGGTTCTGTGATGCTTTGCAGAAATCAAAGTGTAGAGCGCTCTATTGGCAATAGTCGCTTCATATCAAGGCATATTCGATACCTAATAATAGCATGACTTTGAAGAAAGTCTTGTGCCAGTGAACATTTTTAATTCTTAACATCGTGTGTTATATTTTCCAATAAAAAGATCACACTGGGAGTGTGTTTCATTTTCTAAATAGCTTGCCCTTACCAGAGATTTAAATATACTGCGGTAATAAATTAACATATTTGTACATTTTAATCAAGTGCAGTTATTTAACAAATTGCATTGGGGAAGAAGATCAAATGGAAAGATTTTAACATTCCCTCTAGTCCAGGAACAGCGTTTGTTTCTTTTGTGATGTTTGAATGAGAAGACAGTTTCTCGATTCAGCCCGTAGCTATCTTTTTTAACGTTGTTGAAGAGCCATGGGCTGGGAGCTACGTTGTGTATCTCCTTCAGCACAGCACTGTGTAAGTTATTTCTCAAACAGTCTTGACAACTTGTGCACCTCAGTGCAGGCTTTCTGCTATTCCTCAGCTACATGCACGCAGCGTCTGTGCGGGGGCGGGGGTGGGGGCTCCCAGGGAACTCCCTGGGCTTGGGAACACGTCCTTCAGCAAGAAAATGAGTGGACGACGCATGTTTCTTTGTGGACTGTCAGAACACGCAACCCCCAGGGGCCCCCCCACCCCTCAGGGTCCAGCACTCTGGACTTCCTGGGCAGGTACTGTTTGGTGTCTGTCTGTGGTGTGCGAGGCTAAGCACGAGCGATAGAGGCAGGAACCCGCGTGGGTTCTTCTGGTCCCCTGTTGTTGAGGCAGAGAACAACAAATAAAAGCTCCACGTGGAGTTTTCCGTACAGGCTTCCTGACAGCATGCAGGCTGGGTTCTAGGGCCCTGCACCCCGACGGGGAAGGGGCAGCCTCGGGGGAGCCGCGCCGCCTTTGCGACTGGTCTGCGAGCGCACTTGGCCTCGATTGCAGCAGGTCCCCGTCAGGCATCAGCGAGACCGAGTCACCTTCTTCTGGCTTCACCATAGCTAAGGGGGGTGCAGTTCCTCCCAACAGTCTTGGCTGTGGAAGTCCGGGATCCCCGCCCAGCCTGTACTGGACCGGGTGGGGGTGGGGCCCCTCTTTGGTTCGGGCGAGTACTGTCAGAGTGTTTTCTGTTCTGCTAGGCCACCCTTTTCAGGGACCTTCGGCTAGAGAGAGCAGGCTCTGGGGGCCTTTTTCTTTTGGCAGGCACCTCCCTGGTTCTTGCATCTTTAGCTTCGGTCCAGCATGTATGAGGCAGAAAGGAAGCCCGGGGACCTTAGCCCAGCGTTGTGTCTAGAACCCGAGGCTCCCGCCAGCCTGCCTTCTTCCTGAGTCTCCTTACCATCCTCTGTGTGGTCCCCAGGGCTCTTAGTGGCACTGAGTGGGGGAGTGGGGGACGTTGCCCTTTAAGTCACCCATCTCCGTACTCCTGTCATGGCAGTCACGCTACTGGAGAACATTTCTGGGGAACGCCCACAGAAAAGGCAGGTCACAGTGACATGAATAGCCAAGGACCGTGGCCTTCAACTCCCAGGTGTGTTCAAGTACCTGGAGGGCCTTTTCGCACTGATTGTCAGGCCCTGCAGCCAGGGAGGGGGACCTGGCCTTTCTCCTGGGTTCCCGGGTGACCCTGCCGGTCTGGGGACTCCGCCTCATGAGTCACTGCCTTGGAGACGTGCTGGGGTGGTGGCAGATCATCGTTTTAAATGACGTTAATGGCGTATTCAGTCACTTTCAGAAAAATGATGTGATAAGTAAAATAATCAGGATATTAGGTCTAGAAATACTTAAAGGTTGATATTTATAAGATGACAACACCATATTTTTAATGCAATTGGGGCCCTCTCATTTTTGGCACTATTGTATGTGGCCATGGAGAGTCCAAAGGAGCACACCTTTTGTTACAAAGAGAATATAGCAAAATAAGTAAAAATAAAAAATAAAGGAGAGAGGGAGTCGTATGGAGATCCGCCGTTCTGTGAAGGTAAAATAACACTGATTTCATTAGTCGCTCAGTGGAGAGTATTAGAGTGGGGGGATCCAACCACACTCCGTGGTGAACCCCTGACACATGAGGTCTTTCTCGAGGCTCGGGGTGGACGCCAGAAAAGCTCTTTTATTACGTGGATCCAGGCCAACGACGCCAACCCACGACGCACCATCCTCTGAGCTCGCCCTTTGCCTGAGTCAGCCGGGGCGAACACCACCAGAGTTAAAACCTCTCCCGTCCCCCGGGGGGCCATGTATCCAGTTCAGGTGAACTCAGAGGGGTCTCCCCCCAAAGATCACGAACTATGAAAAAGAGGGATTAAAACAGTGAACTGTCAGGCCACAGTCTCTTGGCCATTACTCTTCTTGCGGGAGGTGTTGTGTTTTCAAGAGCCTGTGAACGTTCATCGGTCGTGGTTCTCGTTCGGGGCCCAGGTGAGTCCGCGCTGTGACTGCTTCCTCTCTCTTCCAGCTCCGTGGGCTTGGCCAAGGCTGCTCTGGAAGCGATTAATGGGTTCAACCTCTTCGGCAGCCAGGTAAGAAAACGGCAGCAGCAACCACAAACTTTGATTATTTTTTTAATTACGTGTTTAATTAACCTGGCCATTCATTAAGTAAGTCATTCCTTATGATCAGAGAGTGTCTGAAATTTATGAAGCAGCCCATGATTGAACAAGCTTCCCTTTGAATATGATTTGCCAGTTAAATTTTCATTTCCCACCTAAAAAGCATTGCCTAATTAAAAACTCTTTTGATAAAGAATTCTCATTATCTTTGTTCAATAACTTTTCTCAAGCCCCTTGATGAGCTTCCCTATCAGGTGTTTCCACTCCAGCTTGCGTGTTGGTTTTGGTGCATGTGTGACGGCGTGTGTCCCGCGTGGAGGGGCGTCTGTGTGACGGTGTGTATCCCGCATGGAGGGGCGTGTGTGTGACGGCGTGTATCTCGAGTGGAGGGGCGTGTGTGTGACGGCGTGTATCTCGAGTGGAGGGGCGTCTGTGTGACAGTGTGTATCCCGCGTGGAGGGGCGTGTGTGTGACGGCGTGTATCCCGCGTAGAGGGGCGTCTGTGTGATGGCGTGTGGAGGGGCGTCTGTGTGACGGTGTGTATCCCACGTAGAGGGGCGTCTGTGTGACAGTGTGTATCCCGCGTGGAGGGGCGTCTGTGTGACGGTGTGTATCCCGCGTGGAGGGGCGTGTGTGTGACGGCGTGTATCTCGAGTGGAGGGGCGTGTGTGTGACGGCTTGCAGCCCACGTGGAGGGGCGTCTGCGTGACGGCGTGCGGCCAAAGAGACGCAAGTTTTGATCCCAGCCGAACCCTCGGCTGGCTGTGATCGTGTGTCCCGATCTCATTTTCTCTGGGATGAAGGGGAACCGTGAGGCCACCTTAGACTTTCATAAGGTCTTTGACCAGCGTCTGCACATAGGTGAGCGTGGACTGAGCTGCAATGGAGGGAATAAAGCGAAGAGAACATGGGGTCCCTCTCGGGATCAAGAAGTCGGCTCATTTTCTGCAGCAGTTTTTTAGAAAGACTTCTCGGGTGGAAGGACAGAGGAGGTCCCGGCGATGTTACAGTCAGCCCCGAGCTATTAAAATGCCAAGTCAGTAAAGCCGCATTTGAGGAAGTCACACAGAGCTGCAAACGGTGACGACTTCTGTCCTGGCAGTCATGACCCTGTGCCCTGCACCTGCGGAATGCGGCGGCTTCCCCTCCCTGCCGCACGGCTCTGCTTGTCTCGCCCCAAGGCCTCTGGAGGTTGGGCTCCGTCACGTCCAGAACCTGGGCAGGGAGGAGCACCCCCACGAGAGGGTTGGGAAGGGGCGCGGCACCTCACTCTCAGGAGAGGGCAGGTAGGAAGGAAGGAGGGAGTAGGAGGGTGACGGGGCATAAAGAATGGTAGCCGCATGTGCAACAGCAGAGAAGGACAGGGACAACCCAAGTGTCCGCTGATGGACGGATGGACAGAGTGTGATCCAGCCTCGGACCAGAATGAGATGTTGACATCTGCAGCAATGCGGCTGTACCACGAGGGCGCTGTGCTGAACGGAATAAGCCCGAGGGGAGACAGACAGACAGACACTACACGGCCTCACGGATGTGTGGAATACAAATAAAGCAAAACACACAGCCAGAGCCCCAAGGTCCCAGAGGCAGAGAGCCAGCCGACTGGCGGTTGCCCGTGGTGGGGGCACCCTGGGTGCAGAGCATCGCAGGCACACACTGCCAGGTGCACGTGAGCCAGCGTGGGGGCGCCGTGAGGTCATGCGCTCGCCCGCCAGAGCGCAGTCACGGAGCTGGGGCAGGTCCGAGCTGCCGGTCTCACCGTGGGCTCTCCCGGTGCCGTGGGGGTGGGCGGGCGGGGCTGCGACAGGCCGGGGGCCTGGGCGGAGAAACACAGCGTCATGGCTAATTGGTGTTCTGGACGACCTGTCCTCACAGGGCATTCTTTCACACCGCTGTCTCGAACTGCAGAAGCCCATGTGCTGACGAAGCCGAGGCCTGGACCTAGGAGAGCTCGCCCGGGCCCTGCAGGGCACTCACGGCATGTGCGGGCCGAAACCAGTGTGTCTGCCGCTTGACGTAGGCGGGGATTAGTTCCACATGCACGTCCTCCATGGTGCTGTTTTTAAAAAGCTTGCTTCTGAGCGCGAACAGCTGCCTGAGGCCCTGGGTGCGTTTAGCCCCTGGTAAATCGGGCCGTGTGCCCAGAGCGAGCCGGTGTGTGAAGAGGACGGTGAATAACACAGCTGACTGGCCTCTGACCTCAGTGTGAAAACACGGAGATAGTACAAGATGATTTTTCCCCTTGCGCATGTTTTTGTTGAGGCCCAGGAAGAGACCGCAACAAATAAGCCATTTATTTTTTGGCCAGAAAATACAAGTTGGCTGCTTATATTAAATAATAGCAAGAATTGCCAAATTTGCCATCTTACCTCATTGTTTATAAATTATCCTACTTAGATTGTGTCTTTAAAAACTCAGCTCAAGGCAGACCGATGTGGCACGCAATGGGCTTTATTCACTCCTGGCCTCAGAGTCAGTCAGTCCTCTTGTTACCTTGTGCATTCAGACGGCCACCAACTTGAACCCATGCATGTCTCCGCTGTTTTGTTCCAACCCCGCCCCGCCAACTGCCCCCCTGCCCCCAGATCCTGACCCAGCTTCGGTCCTCAGCTCTCCCACGAAGCGCCCACGTTCCCTGCTTTGCTTTTCCCCATTACCTTCAGGGGTCCCCTCTCATCACTGTTCCTGATCTGAGCCCCTCAGCTGGCCATACCCTGCGTGGGAGGCCTTTTCGGTTCAGGGCTCGTCCCGCCCAGGACACAGCGTCCCCCGGGCAGCTCCTGGGGGGAAGAGGCCGAGTGCCGTCTTGTCCGCTTTCCTGAAAGTGGAGAACACAGACCTGCGGGCTCAGTCTGAGAGAGGGAGGAGAGGAGGGCTGCGTGTCCGTCTGGTTGCTGAGCAACAGCCTCTCTCACCCCTTGTCCATCCATCAGCTTGTCTGTCGGAGTTAAAACAGACGTCAGAATGACGTTGTGACTGACAAGTCTTTCCACTTTATGGGCTGATGTTCGCGTGTGGACGTGGGTTAGCAGGGAAGATGGGCACGTATCGGCTCTGACGTGTGGACCTGGGGCCTAGGACCGCTGCCCTGCACTTCAGGCCAGACAGCGATGAGGGCGGCCTGTTCTGGTTTCGGGGTGCGAAATGAGAGGTTTCGAAGGCCGTGTTGAACCCGCATGGTGTTCGTGACAGTTCTCCCCTCCCCACATAGCTTCCCAAGGGTTCTCTTGTGAGGCAGTCTTCGTACTCCCATTTTATTCTCTTTGATTTCCAAAAATACTTAGCTCCCAGTAATAGAACTAAATCACATTTACTTGCGACTCTGCTCTTGACTGTGGAGAGCACTAATAATGGCTGAAGAGTAAAATTTTTTTTTTAACTTGGTGAAATTTGGTTAGTAACCAGGGAACATTCTTTCGTTCAAGTTTTGGGTTCTTACTTGAGTGATATTTTTTAGTGTGGGAAGTTGTATCACTCAGAGACCTGATCTTGAACCCTTGCTGTATTAAACTAAGGTTTAGCGTCCCCTTTCAGTAACAGGGGAATTGTAATAATACCTGCACACGAGGATTAAACGAGACAGTCCACGAGAAGCAGACGGCTCAGTGCCTGACACCCGGTGTGGACCGGCTGGTGTTACTTACGTTGTCACTGTTTTTTGAGATTCTCCTGTGTTCACATTTTAATCGAGTAGTATTTATATCTGTAATTCTAGGTTGTGTCTAAATTTGTTCAGTTTAAGCATGTAATCAACATTCTTTACTAGGGCTGTACAATGAGATTTTATGAACCTGTATTAGTTTTTGCATTATTCCTGGTCAAAAATGTTAACTAAACTAGTATTTGTATTTTTATTAAGGAAATTATCTATAATGGATTGGTTACCTTATAGTCAGTACATTTGGGTTTATAAGAGAACTAAGGAGAAATGGGGGAAATAGAAAAGTCACATTTACTTTTTATTATGAAGTTAGTATGTTTATTGCAAGACACTTGAGGAACACTGACTGTGTTCCAAAGACAGCCGGAGCCCTCCGCCCGCCGCTCTCCGGGGCGGCCAGCAGTGCTTCCGTGAGACTTCGGGGCCCTCCTCGCCGTGGCGGCCCCGATGCGCCCTCCCCACTGCAAGCCCTCCCCCCCGCTCTCTGTCGCCCAGGGCTGCTCGTGGTCGGTGATCTTCGTGGACCTGGACGCCCACAACCGCAACCGGCAGACGCTGTGCTCGCTGCTGCCCCGGGAGTCGCGGTCACACGTGAGACCCCCCACACACACACGTCCCTGGGCTGCCTCAGGGGCGTCCCCTCTCTGACTCGGGTTAGACCCACCCGTGGTAGACGTCTGGGGTTTTCTGTGGCTCCACTTCTACAAAACACCCAAAATGGAATGATTTAATGATTTAAAAGTAACTATGGTGTGGAAGTAAAAAAGAGATTTTGATAAAAGGAAAGTAAAACCTGCAAATAGGCAAATCATATGCTCTCATTACTTCCCCACTCAGTTGTCATCTCAGGTGATACAGTCGTGTTTACAGGCTTCCACACATTTTATGCACACCTAACACTTTTACTTTGCAAAACTGGAGAATAGTGTTCACAGGGCTTGGCAGCCCCGTTCTGTGAACAGACCCGTCCACGCACGTCAGCAAATGCCCCTGCCACGTAAGTGGTGGCGGCCGTTCACTCACCCGCCTCCTTGTGGGGCGTTTTTCACTATCACAAACCATCGTCACAGCAAACGAAGTGTCATGACTATTCATGGTCGTTAAATTTTTACACACTGCCTTAATGAGTATCGAGTGTGAGTTCAGGGTCCAACCTTGAAAAAATGCTCCTCCTCAGCGAGCAAAGATTGCACCGCGCCCCCGCCCCTCTAGGGCTTCCCACGCTGCACCCCAGAAACGTCTCTGTCCCCCGGAGCCCACGCTCTCGCCGGCGGCCGCTCCTTTGTCGGCTTCCCCGCGGCCCTCCGCGGCCGCCATCCTGTCCCCGTGGGCACTGACGTCCCCCTTGTTCCCGTGGCCAGAACACAGACGCCGCCCTGCTGCCCTGCATCAGCTACCCGGCCTTCGCCCTGGACGACGAGGCCCTCTTCATGCAGACACTGGACAAAGTGGTTCGGAAACTGAAAGGAAAGTACGGATTTAAGCGCTTCTTGAGGGACGGGTACAGAACGTCCTTGGAAGATCCCAACAGACGCTACTACAAGCCAGCTGAGATTAAGGTATCGGGAACGCGCCCGCGTGGCCCAGACACCGACCGGGGGTCGCTCCCCGGGCGCGTCCCGGCCCTGCCGCCTCGCAGCCGTGGGCAGCCCCCTTAACCGCGGCTCACGCTCTGCACTGGTGAGATGACAGCACACGCTGCCCTTGGTCCTGCTGTCGGGGCCTCTCGTGGGTGAGATGAGTCGATCCGTGTGAGTGCGTCGGGTGGACGCCGGCACCTGATGGCCAGGCGCGCTCGGGGCGGGCAGCTCCCTCGGCAGTGGGGGAGCTCACATCGACACGCTTCCCTCTGCAAAGTAGCCTCTGAGTACTGAGTTTGACATAGTTCGTATTTAGAGTGCACACGCGCAGCCCTGCATCTAGGTTTATACTGGCTGATTTTTTTAGAACGGGGAGGGAGAAAATAAGGGAGAGAAACATCAATGTGTGAGAGAGTCCACACACTGGGGGCCTCTCTCATCCCCCTAACTGGGGACCTGGGCCGCAACCCAGGCATGTAGTCTGACTGGGAATGGAACCAGCAGCAGCTCAACCCACTGAGCGACACCAGCCAGGACTAGATTTATGCCAGTTGGTTTTAAGCTGTGCGGAGAGCTGTCCAGCCCACACAGGTCAGCGTCCCTCCACAGCACTGCAGATTTGCTTTAGTGGGTAGACCACAAGCTGTTTGCACGGCCACAGCTGTGGCTCGCTCACTGAGAACAGGTCTGGTCTCGTGAACCTCTGTGCTGACGAGCCCAGGCCAGGGACACTACTGACCACCCTCCGGTGCACAGGACAGATGCTACAACAGGGAATTGTTTGGCCCAAACTGTCACCAGTGCTGAGGCTGAGAGATGGCGGTGTGGACTAACAGGCCGTCACTGTGGGTTGTCCCCAGCGGCCTGCCAGCAGGAGCTCCGATTGCCCTAAAACCCCCACCTGCACTCCTGGCTCTCAGCCTGGCAAGTCAGTCTGGGGAACAAATTCCGTCTGGCTCGGGACTCCCTGGCGCTTCCAGACCACAGTCTCCTCATGCGGCTTCCCAGGCCCTTCCCGACGTGGCTGGCCCGGCCCACTCGTTGGTCTGCCGCTCTCACCATCTTTCCTTGTTCCCCCCGGGGACCACGGGTTCATTGTCAGTCCCTTTAGCCAACTTTGCCGTGTGTCTGCCATTTGCACAGCGCGAGGCTCCCTGGGTGCATCTCCCTGGAGAAGTCTGTGCGGCGTTACTTGAGGCCTCTTCTTTCTCCCATGCCCTTCCCAGACCCTGGGCAGACATGGGCGTTCGCTCCCTGTGTTCCTAATGTCCTGTGGACGGACCTTTCAGAAGGGGCGCAGCTGCTTCCTCCCGGCCTGCCTCCGCAGGGGGCTGGGGGCCTCCCGGGCAGGTGCCCTGGGGTCTTCAGAGCCCTCTCTCGCCCCATGCTGGCCATTGCCAAATTCTTAGTGAATGTTTCTTGAAGGGATGCTGCATGAGGGGTTAAACAAATGAGCCCTTGAATAATGAGTTCTGAGAATGTTTTTTAAAGAAACAATGAAACTACTTATAAAGTCAGTTTTGTTATTACTATACATATTTTGTATATTCTATCAGTGTTCTAATTAATATAGCTTTTTAACTAACAAAATTGTTCTAATTAATTGCTCGTGAAATAGTTAATATTCTGTTTTCTGTTTTAGCTGTTTGATGGCATCGAATGTGAATTTCCCATATTTTTCCTGTACATGATGATTGACGGTGAGTGAGCTCTTCTCCTGAAACCTAAGCTTTCGGGTGCATGTTTAGAGAAGAGCAGAAGCGAACCGTGACTTCGTTCTGCTGGCAGGACAGACTCCGGCCCAGTGACGGTCACTCCTCTGCGTCCCCGTACGCTTTCCTGCTTTCCAATCGAATGCTAAACAATTTAAAGAATTGAAAATAGTTTGAATTATCTTTAGAATGGTACATCTGTCTTTTCATGTTTACAAAGAAGACTTTTCCATGTGTAGAAACCATGAATACTAATTTAATCTGCGACATTGCGAATACCGCTAACATTTATACTGATGAATAGAGAAATTTCAATTAAAATTCAGCTCTCAGTTCTAAATGCTAACATGACCTTCTAAAATTGATTTCCTGGAAAAATATCACACATTTTCATTACCTTTTTTCAATTTTACTTTTATCCTTTATGTAGAAAATTACCAAAATAATTATAACAGGGCTGATAGATTTTTCCAAGGTAAAATTTCTTTGGTGCTTCCTGGGCTCAGATGCCACTGGAATTTCCCATTTGCATTTCAGGTGTTTTCAGAGGCAATTCCCAACAAGTCAAGGAGTATCAGGACCTCCTGACTCCAGTACTTCATCAGACCACGGAAGGTATAATTGGAGCATTTTCTCAAGAAATTTTTTTCTACTAATATTTCCTTAATGTTCCTTTGAAATGTACATATGATTCCTTTTAAGCAGAGCAATTTATATTAAATGGGAAAAAATGAGTGGGGCCTTGAATAAATTAGGAAGAATACTCTATTCACTTGTTGCAGTAAACTTGTTTTTATGGAAGGAGTCCCTTTGGCAAGACAGGGGTGGTGAGGCATTGGGGTGCTGGTGGACACAGTGACTGCGAAACCGCCCGCCAGGCGGGCGGGGGCTCTTCCCCTGTGACCTGCTGCCACTGCTTTCCTCTCTGTGGCATGACAGCATGGAAGGTGGCTGGCTTTTGTGCAGGTCACCAGCAGCGCTGTGTTCTGGCGAGTGCCGCCCCCCAGGGGCCACCTGGAGGCTGTGCCCGAGGTGTGGCCGGCTGCCAGGAGCCTCCTGGCCCCCTCTGGGGCGGGGCTGAGTGTTTTAGGGAGGGTCAGATGGCCCGTCTGATGAGTAGCATGCTGGCTTCCGCTAAACACCCGCCAGCAGGGCCCAGAAGAGGAGGCACCAGGTTTTCCTGTACGACAGGCACTGCAGCTGCTCGTCCGAGGAATTTGGAAGAAGTTGTACATGTCTTTGGTGTGTGGAACTGTTTGCAAATAAGACTGTTCCCCTGGGTGAACAGCTTGGAGAGCGTCCTTGTGTGGAAGGTGGGGGCCACTGGGGGTCGGCGACAGGCGGCTGATCTTGTGGACCTGATACGGCACCGAGCCCCTTCCTGTCGCAGGCGGGGTTTGTGCTGTTCCTTCAGCGTTTTCCACCGGGGAGGGGCTCGGCCTCAGTGTGAACGCTCTGTGCTGACCCTTTAAAATACTCGTTAGAGCAGCGAGATGTTCATGGATAAACTGAATCCCAAATTTAAGTTGATGTTCAAACCAGTCGCTTCCGTCTTTATGCTCCAAAGAGCCATTGCCCAGGGTGAGAGGTGACCTAGTGGTGTCAATGGCAGACAGTCTCGTGGGTTTGAGGCACAAACACCGCTGTTCACTGATGCGCGAATGAGGAGTCTGAAAGAACCCTGCGCAATTTTATTAGAAAAATTGTTTCCCGTGGGCTGGTGCTACAGAAAGTCTTAGAATGTTGTTTCTCTTTATATTGTCCACAAAGATTCTAGTCTTTAAACAATAACTTTTAATTTCTACCAAGGAATATTCTGACATGGGTCAGTCACAGGTGGGTGGGTTCCCCTCTTCAGTGACAGTCATAAATGGTGGGCTCAGTGTTTAAGGGGGGTTTCTTCGCGCCGCACAGCGGCCAGGGCGGTAACTCTCCATGTACGGTGACCCCGATCCTCCCGTGAAGGCCCCACGAGTGGCACTGTCACACACAGCTGCCTCTGCGTCCCCGAATGTCGGCGCGTCATCGTGGTCTTTGTCGGCTCACCTCGAGGAGCAAGAACAAAGCGCTCCAGAGGGGGCTGTGCGGTGGGGGCCGGCGCAGCAGAGCGCGCGCTGTCGGATGTCAGACCGCGGGGCAGCGCCGAGAAGCAGTGCCGGCTCCATGCGGCCCCTCGGCCGTTAGCTCCTGCGTTAGCTCCGGGGGCACACTGCCCCCTCTGCGCTCTGCTCATGGCACCTCGTCCCGGAAGGGAAGCCGCGGGGAGGACACTGCCTCGCGGTGTTTTAACTGTTTCTTTTTCAACGCCGAAGGTCACCCTGTCGTGCCCAAGTACTACTATGTGCCGGCGGACTTTGTGGAGCACGAGAAGAGAAACCCCGGCAGTCAAAAGCGGTTTCCTAGCAACTGTGGCCGTGACGGAAAGCTGTTTCTTTGGGGACAAGCCCTTTATGTCATCGCCAAGCTCCTGGGTAAGTGGACAGAGCTGGGTCCGTTCCCCCTTGTCATCAAGCCCATGGAAGCAGGTCCCTGACCGACCTTTTTCTTGAACTTGAGCGGACTGCGAGCCGCTAAGAGGTCCTGGGGGAGTTTCTTGGTGCAGAAAGGTCTAGAAATACGCCTGTCTCACTGCGGGTAACAGACAGTTTCTGGGATGATAGACAGGTTTGGGGTCTGCCTGCTGTGGTCACTCGGGGCCACCTTCAGCTCAGCGGGTAGGTCTCCTGCAGAAGGCTGTAGGCCCTTTGATGTACTTCCACACACTGTAATAAAATTCCAATTTAATATAATGGTCGCATTTGGTCAAAGCTTTAGTAAACCACTTGCCAAAAGGACTTGGTTGTCTCTAAGTCCTCCTCTTTCCAATAAACACGCAGCAGTTTTCCTCAGCTGGATGCCAAATAGGACCATTACTCACAATTCTCTGAAGAACTGTTTCTCAGCCACTCCGAACACTCCAGCCGAAAATGTCTACTCTGGCCACACCGAAATGCAGGCTAATGCAATGAACAGAGAAGGTGCTCTCCGCCCTGCTGCACTATTCCTTGCTGAAATGCCAAGTGCCGTTAGCATTTGCATCAAGAAGGCGACCCTGTTAGTCGGAACCCCTTCGTGGGCAGCAGATTATGAACCCGGCGGACGTGAACCCCGCCTGCCCCGGGAGAGCTGCCCGCTGCGGGAGGTGCTGCGTCGTCGTCCGCGTCCTCTGGGGCTCCTTTGTTTGCATTCCGTTTGGGCAGAATATTTCCGAGTCCGGGTTTCCAAGTCGAGCTTCACACAAATAATATATAACAGCAAATAGAAGCTACTGCGGAAGAGAGAATTAAGTCAGTGTTATTTTCAAACTTCTTCCTGACTGCATTTGCTGGGTCTCCATATAAATAAACTTTTAATGCCAACTTAAGAACCTGCAGAAAATTTTCTTTCATCAAATGGACAGCCTTTGATAAGGAATTCATGTTATTTATGCAGATTTTGCTTTTATGTTTTCCAAAAGAAAAAAGATACATACGTAAGTTAGTTTTCTTAGAATCAAGTCCAGGTTGGTAAGGTTATCTCTGGTTAGAATGTTATTTTTCTCTCTCTAGCAGGAATACAAAGAAACCTTACTGATACTCAGAGCTAAATAAAAATTTGAGGAGAGAAGTAGCTAAGCTGAGTAAGGACAAGAATCTTAATGCCGGACTCACGAATTTCTATGTACCAGCGCTATACTTGGAAATTACAAATGAGCGGGATGAAAACCTGTGATTCTGAGGCTGAGAGCTGGCCCCTGGGACGGGAGACTTGCAATCTAAGCCTCCCTCTCGCGTCGTACGGTGTGTCTGGCCTGAGGCTGATGGGCAGGAAAGAGGGTTGTTTGAGCGAAGCCCGAAGCCTCCGGGTGAAGCCGAAAAGGCTAATGAGTTGGTTGAGTTGGGAATGCAGGGTCGACCATACTCGGCGTCAGCACATTGAGCTTTTTAAAAAGAGAGGTTGAGAACAGTAGCAGTCGGTAAAGAAAGCATGGGCCCTTCCTTGCGCCAAAGTCGGTGTGCTGAATGTGGAGAGATGTTCGATGTAAATAGCATTTTGTTGTGTGAAGACCAGAGTGAACAGAAATAGCCCAGGTCATGCTTTAATCTCTGTTTCATGATCAAAACGAAGAAGACTTCAGAGGAGAGTCTATTCTCTCTTCTCTGCCGAGCTTTTAGAAGCAGAGAGCACGCAGAGGTGGCTGGCAGCGTGAGGCCGCGTCCTTACCGCCTGGGAGGAAGAGACGTCACGCACTCCCGAGCACACAGGCCCAGCAGCGGCCCCTGGGTCCCCACCCCCGGCTCAGGGGGAGAAGGTCTCACGAGGCTGAGTCCCCAGGTTGCTCGTCACGATCGGGCACTTGCCCCGAGCACCATCGGCTTCTGTGCAGGTTCCTGAGCTTCCAGATGCAACCACATTTGCAGAGTCTCGTTGGCTCATGAAAGGAGCCTTGGTTGGATAGTTACTTGACAATATTTTGTGGGTAGAGTTACATGAAAATAATAGAACAGAAAAAACGTTTTGAAATATCCTGCAGTAGTGTATGGCTTGCACTGATTCGCACGAGCTGGTGTCCAGGGAGCCCTGGTTGGACTCTCTTGCTCTCTATGTGCCTCAGCGAATAATTACACACCAGAAACTGTGTGACTTTGATTCCACTGTCAGAGCAAAAAGACCCCATACGGTGCGACATTTCCTGGCCAAGGCCTCAAGCACCCACTCGGTTATCAGAAGATAGTTGATTATTACAGCATTTTTCCTTCTTTGGAAAAATTAGGCTTTGAGGAAATCGGTGTTTGCTATAAAATAGGAGACTGAATTTAAGACGTGTCCGTTTTTAAACCAGGTGTGACTTTAAGACACTTGACCTGTCTTAGAATCAAATGAGCCTTTGCTGCCTTCACTGTTAAATGTGGAGGTTCAGAAATCTCCGAGGGATGGATGCGCTGTGCCGTTACAGTCCCAGGCAGAAATGACCGTAAAAGTGTTTATCACGTAAAAGTCACTTGAAAAGTATCTCTGGACTGAATGCGATGTGGCTAAGAAAACTAGAGGTATATAAGATAACATAAGATTGATAATTTGCAATGTCACCGAAACCATTACTTAAGTTTAGTAACGTATTTTCTCATTCAGTGTTTTTTTAAAAAGAGGAGATAGCATGACAGTTGTTTAGCTTTCAAGGAAGTCTGACTTCCGGGCGTTTCAACACATAGGCAGCAGCTGTCTTCCCTGCACACCAGACGCTGGGTTGACCTGCTGGGTTGACCTCCGTGCAGGGGCTGCCGGGGAGCACAGCTCAGCACAGACCGGAGCCCTGCACGGCCGTCGGCGACTGGGGAGCTCTTTCTGGAAGGGCGCTTTGAAAGCACCATTAACAAGCATCAGGAGCTAAAACAACGTGTGTTCTTTGAGTAAAGCTGAATTACTGAGCAATTTTAATTAACTACAACTTTCTAGTACACACAAACTCCCAAAATACTCAGGTGAATGAAAATCTTGAATTCACAAATGACTCTTGTTTTCTTTTTTGCGATAGTATTTTTTAATTTCCTAGGGGTGTTAACAAGAGACTTTTAGATGAAAAGACACAGAAGTACATTAAACTCCCCAAACGTCACGGTGCACATGCACAGAGACAGGCACACGGTGCCGGGCTGGCCGTCCACCCCCCCCAGCTCGGTTCTCAGCGCCCGCGCCTCCGTTGCGGTCAGCGAGACCGGAGCTCCCACCCTGCAGGATGCCTGCTGACCCTGCCAGAGTGTCCTCTGTGATTTTGGTGGCGTGACAGAAACTCACTTGCTCTGCTAAATGTTTTGTAGTTATATCATTAAAGAAACAAAAACTCTTAAGACGTTCCTTTTAGCCTCGACAGTTGCTGTTTGAGCGACACGCAGGCCGTATTTTACAAACTCTGTTTATCGCAGAGCAGATTCGAATGGCCCAGTGTGTCCTGTAAGGTGTGAAGGCCACTGTCATGTTCGCAGAACGCATGCTGGTCCGTGAGGCGCGGTCCCGTGTGACGAAAGCTGTCCTCCTTTGTCCCCGCTCCGTGCCGCAGCCACTGTGTGGGCCATCGGGTGCTGGCTCTCTTGGGCTTGTCCCTTTTCACCCGCAGACCAGTGCCGCAGACGGGGCACGGGCAGGGACCTCTGCTTTGCTTCCTGAACGGTAAAGGTCACTGCAAGGAGAAAACAAAACTATTGGCCTGACCTGTGAAGGTCACGGTTACCATCATGGAAGTGAAGGCAGTGGTTACGGCACTCACTGTTTCTGAGTGTGTTCACCTCCTGGTTCGTGATTCTGTTATTAAGTTGCTTGAGTGCCTACTACGTGCAGCTCGGGAGCAGCCACGAGTGAGGCGCGTGCTGCCTGCAGGGTCCCATCACGCACCTGGGGCTGGATGAGCCGTGCCGCAGGAGGACCAGGGTGGGGGGCGGAGTGCGGAGAAGGTTTTTCAAAAGGCTTGGTTAACTATTTTGTTCATGTTAATGTTAATAGGTTAACATTTGTGCTTTCCAAGGATATGATATTTCTTAATTTATGTCATCGTTTATAAATAACAAAATAATAAAGAGAGAACTTCATTTCCGTGGCACATGACAGTGAAACATTAATTATGTAAAACGCTTCTTGGCGGCGTGGAAATTGTTGCACATCTCAGTGAGCAGACAGATGAGGTAGGGAAATAATTTGCTGCTACTTAAAATATCACAGTACTAATCAACCCGGCATTATGAGCTAAACCGATATTGATAAATTAAAATTGTAGGTCATTATTTGCCACAATTAAGCCTATATTGGCTCAGTTTAAATTTTGCAAGAGTATATTCTTTTCAGAGTGAGAGAAGAATGTCCTGTGATGTGTTCCCTGCCTGGGCAGGAAAACTAACCGGTCAGGTCTGAATTGTGTGTTGTTGCCTCCTGACCCTCCCTGTCGTGGGGAATGTCCGTGTTCTTGAGGGGCCAGGTCTGTGTGCACGAGGGAACCCCGACCCCAGGAGAGCTGGCCCGCCCGCTGCTGAAGCCAGGTGTGTCAGGTGTCCCGCTGCTCTGTCGTCCACCGGCCCGGTGTGCCGGTTGCAGAACCGCTCGGTGCCTTCACTTCGCCGTCCGTTAAATGACGAGGCGTTGTGGGGTCAGTGAATTAACACGCGTGAAATGCCCGGGGAATGCCAGAAACGTGGAAAATGCTGTGCAGGCGTTGCTGCGTGGTGACTTCTGCAGCTGCCGCCACTGCCACCGCTCCTTGTTCTTGTTGTTCTGTTGTTAGTACCGCTTTTGTTGTTATTAAAATAACAGCGGTAAATTCAGCAGCTCCCGACAGTCTCTGAAAACTCTATGGGTGGTTTTGTCCCATATGTTGCTAGACTTTGCTAGTATTTTGATTGAGGGTTTTTGTGTCTCTATTCAAAAAGGATATTGTTCTTTAATTTTCTTGTCATCTTTGGTTTTGGTGTTAGGGTAACACTGGCCTCTAAGAATGAGTTTCGAGGTGCTTCCCCCACTATTTGGGGGAAAGTTGGTTCTAACCCTTCAGCTGTTTGGTAGAATTCACCAATGAGACCATCTGTCCCAGGTCATTTTTCTTTCTAATGGGTGATTTTAATCACTTGTGACAAATCTGCTCCAATTTTTACACGCCCTCTTGAGTCACTTTTTGCACTGAGTGTCTTTCCAGGAGTTGTCCATGTCCAGCTGGGCTTTCTAAGTGACCAGCACACGAGTGTCCCTTACAATCCCAACAGTCGTCAGCGGTGTTGCTACCCCCATTCCCGGTTCAGTAACTCACATCTGCCTTCTTACTCCCTTGGTCAGTTTAGTTAAGTGTCTGTCAACTTCTGATCTTCCCAAACTCCACTTTTGGTTTCGTTTATATTTTCTATTGTTTATTTATACTCTGTGTCATTATTTTCCAGTGTAATATATTATTTCTCCTGCTTGCTTTTGATTCACTTAGCTTTTTCACCCACTGTCTTAAGGTGGAAGGACAGGTTCCTGATTTGAGATGGTCCTTTTGTTTTAATACAGGCATTTTACAGCTATGAATTTACCCCTGAATATTGCTTTAGCTGCATCTGGTAGGTTGTGGTGTGTCATGTCTTCGTTTCTAATCATCTCATCAGAAAGTACATCAGAAATTATTTTTTAATTTCCCTTTTGGTTTCTTCTTTGACCCATTTGTTATTTAGGAATATGTGAAATAATTTTCACATTTTTGTTACTGGTTTCATTCTGTGGTGGGCAGGGAGCGTACTTTGTGTGATTTTACTCCTTTTAAACTCACTGAGGCGTGTTTTAGGGCCTGGTGTGTGGAAGCTGTGCCATGTGTGCCAAGAAGGGGGCGGACTCCGCTCCCGTTGGTGGAGTGTTCTAGAAGTGTCGGCCAGCTTTGCTGGTTTCCGTGCTGTCCAGATGCATGCTGGGTAACGCCCTTTCCCTCTCTTTCAGCCGATGAGTTAATCAGCCCGAAGGACCTCGACCCCATCCGGCGCTACGTCCCGCAGCAGGACCAGCGGAACGTGAGCATGCGGTTCTCCAACCAGGTAAAGGCGTGTTTTCTGTGAGGAGTGACTCTCCCACAGGCACCGAGAGCTTAACTGAAGAAGAACTTTTATTCTGAATGGGGTGTTGACTGCTCCTGAGGAGGGCAAGCCTTCTGTCTTCTGGTTAGTCAAGATTTACAGGCCTGCTTGTATGTCAGCCATACTTCACTTTCTGAAAAGTGCTGCGGCAAAGGCTCCCCGTTGATGAGGAGTGTGCCCGACAGGGTGTCAGCTGGGTGGACGTGGTCCTCCTCCCAGCGGTCCCGGTTGAGGCGTCCGGTGTGCGTGGGTGGTGCCGTGTGTGGGGCGGGGGCAGCCGAGACGGACTGCCCTTGCAGGGAGTGGGTCCCGTGAACGACCCTGTGCTCGCTGTCCCTCCACGGTGGCATCTCCATGGCAGGACGGGCGGGTGATGTGTTGGGGGAAAGAATCGTGTACGTGTACACACTCAGGCCTGTGGATTCAGGCTGCATGTGTCAGCAGGAGTGTTTGCAGGACCAGCAAGATTGGTGTCAACTTGAAAAAACCCTCAACTCGTCAACGACCGCAGCCAGGAAGCCAGGAAGGCCCCCCCCGACAACGACAAGGACACACTGTGGGCCGGGAAACCGCCCGAGGAGAGAGGGAGTGGCCCGGAGTGGGGGGGGGGGGCGGGACGCCAGCCGGGGACAGCTGCTGAGCAGGACTAGCAGGCGTCAGCACCCGCAGAGGTGCTCCAGAAACTTAAATGCTCCTTTTATTTAAGAAAACATTTATATACAGAACGCACACACAGATAATGCTTGTCCCAACGAGAGAAAGGGAGGGCCCAGCAGACCCGTGAGGTCCGCTCACACCGTCTCACTGATTCTCCCGGCGGCCTCAACGAAGCGTGATGACTCCGAGTGCTTCATAGAGCAGAAGCTGTTTGGGACATTTTTAAATAAACGTTCAGGTTTCCTCAAGAACATGAAATCCCCGTGTTAGTATATGAACAGTCCCCACTGGCCCGTTGGCTGCTCTCTCAGGTAGGCACGAGGCCTCTGCCTCAGTCAGCACCTGTGTCCGCACAGGGCAGTGTCCTCGCCAGGGTGGGGTCCTGCCGACTCGGGGAAGGGGTGCTCAAGGAGGGGGAGCTAGCGCTGCGTCAGCGGGTGTGAATGGAGTCCAACTTTGAGACGGTGGTTCAGGAAGCTGCCTACCTCGCTGTCGGAGGACGAGCCCAGCAGAGGCAGAAACGTGGGCACAGGGTGTCGGAGCGGCCTGCCCTCGGGGCAGTCTGGGCAAGGTCGCCAGGCGTTTCTGCAGCCAGTCCACCAACCCGTGACGCCCGGTTGCTGGGTTGGCTTTGTGGGTGTGGCTCCCGGCTGTGGCTGCCATGGGCCAGGTCCCCAGTAACCTCGGAGCGGTCGTGGTGGGTGGTGTGATCAGAAACCAGACAGTAGGGGTCAAAGCACCCGGTGGTGGAAGACCAGCTGCTCCCCCAGTGAGGCGGCTGCACCCAGGCCGCTCCCGGTTTGGTCGGTGCATCGTGGAGCGAGCCTGCAGCCGGGACTGGTCCCTGTGTCCCCTTCTGTCCTGTCTCACTGCTCTGCACAGTCTGCAAAGGCTTATCGGTCTCAGATGATTTAAAGGAATTCTGCACAAGGCTCAGTTTTATTTGCCTCACTTCATTCCAGTGCCCTCAAATAGTTTAACCAATTCAAGACAATTTCTACTTAAAGGATTAAAAAAAACTTCATTAGCTTGGCAAAGAAAGAATTTGTATGGGACCATAGAGCCTAATTTATCTGCAAGCATGGGGTTGAATTGAGTGCTGAACAGTTCTCACGATGGTTATAATAAAACAGCATAAGACAGCCAGGCATCCAGACTGCTTCGGAAGGCCCGGCCTCCACACACCACAGCCTCACAGAGGTTCGTCCCGGAGACTCTGCGCTCAGCCCGTACGGGAGGCGAGTTTCCTCTCAGAGCTGGCGAAAACTGACTGCCTTGATCAGAGGCACCCAGAACGGAGAAAAGCTAAATTGGAAGTTGAAGAAAATGAGCTCAAACACGTTTAATAGTGCTGGGTCTCGAGCTGCTGTGCCCGGCGAGCTGTTCTCGCCCTGCACCCTCGGCAGTCCTTCGAGACGGGGACCAGCGTCACACTGTCTGCCGAGTGGGGTGCTGGAGACCACTCGGTGTCCACCGAGAGGCGCACCCGTTCCTGAGATGAGGACGACATAGGCTGTAAAACGGCCTTACAGCCATTGAAAAACGAGGGAAAGGCATCAGTGAGACACTTTGACATGGTGACGAACACACGTGAGAGAGCTTACTGTTGTCCGTCTGCCCCAGGAGACTCCGGGGGGCCCCTCAGGGAGGGACACGGGGTCACGGTCATCCCGTGACACCAAGGCCCAGCAGGAGCCTTGCAGGTGAGCGGGCCTCACCTGGCGACCAAATGAGTCAGCACACGAGTGCGTGTGCAACGGAGGGCCACACGGGTTCGAGTGGCACGTGTGTCTATGGATACACGTGTGTGTGTGTGTGTGTGTGCACGCTTCGTGAACGGGAAAGCAGAGACTGCTGTAAGGGGAAGCGCCATTCTGAGATGCAAGGTGGCATTAACACGAGGACATTTTCCGGGGGATCCTGTGGGTTTGGGCAGCTGTGTTAGTGCGCTGAAGCACGTGGCGGGTACCGAGGAAAGACGCCCCCGCCTCCCGGTGGGAGCTGCTGGGGTGGGGCTGCCCCTGCTGAGGTTTCCGTGCGTGACACACGGGTGAGGCCCACTGGGCAGGGTGGATGGTCTGTGCGTTGGAAGTTTCTGGGATTCGGGGTTTTTACAGTGAAAGTTGACTTCGTCCAACAGTCCCCTAACCAGACACTCGCTGTGGCTCCGCCCGCGTCCCGGCGTTTTGGCCCGAGCAGTCTGTCGCACAGACGGACGCAGCGTCAGAGGGAGAGTATGGGTTGCTAGTTAGGCGCTGCCAGCTGCCTAATTTATTGTGATTCGAATGTCGTCTGCACTCGAGTCCATGCATTTGCTTGCGTTTTAAGTAAGAGTCCCTGCCGGCCCACAGGCCCACTGGGAGCCACCCCGTCTGGTGGAGCACACCCTCGATTTCCCCCGGGAGCACGGGGCTCAGTGCTTCCGTGTGCTGGCAGAACCCCCACGGACCTCCGAAGGCCTCGCTTTTCTCTCCTTTTGGAGCAATGTGAACTGTTAAGGCCTTTTACCAGATCAGAGTCTACAGCCGTTTTAATGCACGTTTGGTTCGTTGGGCGGCTCCCTCACATTTGTGTCCTGTGTTTAAGTCCCGGGGAAGTCTGCCGGAAGTGGCATTCCCACGCTTTTTACCGCTGACACACATTCTCCGGTGTCTCCTGCTCCCGTCACACATACATTCTAATTGCCCCCGAAAACCACAGAGCGTTGTCTGCTGGAACCCAAACGGTTCACAGCCTGCTGTTGGGCGTGTTGGGTTCCTCACTGTGGAGAGATCATACTCGGTCGGTACCTTCAGAGCTTCCTAATGCAGTCATTTATTGGAGCTTCGTAATGTTTTCTGCCACCGCACACACGCAGTGTACAGTGCCCGCCGCAGTGAGCCCTTTCACTAGACAGGGCAGCACACGCCTGCCTCTACCAGTGGCCCGAGCTGCCAAGCTCAGCGGCCTGCACTCAGCCAGCACGGGGCCGACGGCCCAGCCCCCGGGCGGCCCCCTCGCCCGTGGGAGCTGCCTGCTAGGACAAAGGTCCTCTGATGCATAGGTGACAAAGGACAATTGGCTAACAAGAGAGGGAACAGCCTTAGATGTAGTTAAGATGTCAAATGAATAATTTGAAGTCACGATCACTTTTTTACAGGGAATGGAAAAATTGGGTTTTTATTTTTAGCTCCTTTCTCTTCCCTTCCGAGTTATGTGATGGAGATGGACGCCCGGCCCCAGACTACTCCTGTGCATCGTTCAGAAGGGTGCTGACAGGCCGGCCGCACTGGCCGTGGTGGGATGTGTGCCCCACCCCCCGCCCCCGTGTCCATTACTCCGTTCGCACCCTCGCATGACCAGCAGCGGGCAGGGCAGGGCAGGAAGCGGAGGCAGCCGTCCTCTGAATGAGCCGCTCAGAGACGGCCGACGAGGACCAGGTGTTCTGAAAACGTCTCCTCCCCGCCCCTTCTGCGTTGCAGGGCCCGCTGGACAATGACCTGGTCGTTCACGTCGCACTCATAGCAGAGAGCCAACGGTACGAAGTCCAGGTGGGCGGGGTGTTTGCGGGGGTCCGAGGCAGGCTGGCCGCTCTGTGCTTTCGGTATTGAGTGCGGTGGCAGCGGCTCAGCTCGTGGGCCCCTTGACAGGGCGTGAGGATGTCGTGCGTGTCACTTTAAGCCCAGAGCAGCACTCTGTCCACGTTTAACAGTGATTTTGCTTCAGTCGATGTCGGTGTCAAAGACCGTGCCCCTGCCAGTGCTGCCAGGGCGCAGCACCGGGACAGGAGCCTGGGTGGAATCCGTGCCCGTCCTGTCGCCAGTCCCCAGAGCCCCCACATGATGTTGGCAGGGAGTCCCGAGGGCCTCTGGCTGCAGCGCAGATCATCGTAAACACGGGCTCCCAGCCAGCGCGGTTCCCCCTCCCCTTGACTGTTCCCAGACTGGGTGACGCTCGTCGCAAAGCGTCCCCCTCTCTGTCTCCGCCTGTGCTCCGCAGCCTGCAGGTCTTCCTCAACACATATGGCATCCAGACGCAGACGCCGCAGCAGGTGGAGCCCATTCAGATATGGGCGCAGCAGGAGCTGGTGAAGGTCGGTGCTCATGTCCTTCCTGCCCGCCTTGGGGGGGCGGCGGGCCGGAGCCCCGTGATTGGACTTCGGGTCCAATCGGGACGTGCAGGGAGCCTCCGATTCCGAGGCGGGGCCGTTCCTCCGCAAGTCCCCCCAGCTAGTGGAGACCCAGTGCACCAGCCACTGTTGCGAAACAAAACGGCCGCCGGGCCATGTGTGCGCTGCCTTCCCGGGGCTGCGGGTTCCCGCCGAGTCTGTCACCAGCCGGGCGAGCGCCCGGTCACACTGCCTTCGTTGCAGTGCGTGTGAAACCACCTTTACACCTGTTCTGTCAGTGTTCCCGTCTGTCACTGGTAAAGGAGCCTTCTCTTCTGAGTCCTCGTTGGTAACAAGTACTTTTCCCCGTTGCCTCACTGTTTACAGTCTGAAGGAATCCCTAGCCCTTCAGCGGGTCGGGTCTCGAAACAGTGATAGAACGACGCCCGAGTCTGCCTCTGGTGCAGTCGCACACCCGTCCGCACGGGGTCCAAGGGGCCTTCCTCTGAGGCCTTCTGCCTGCCCGCTCTGCGTGCGGGCGGGCACAGAGGTGCCGTGTACAGGGATGTCCCCGCTCCTCAGGGGCAGGACCTTGCTGGATTCTACTGAGTATTCGTGAGCTGTTGTTTTATCTGGCAATTGCTCAGTGCAGAAACTACTCCGCCCCGGTGGGAGCGTTCACAGTGTCTCCCGAGCGCTCAGGACCCGGTCAGTTGGGTTGATGTGAATGTCCACAGTCACCGCCTCAGTGTGGCTGCCCTCGGACCAGCCTGTCCAGGAGATGCCCTCGGAGCGATAGGGTGCCGTCCCTCGACACCTGCGGCATTAGTGGGGAGCGACAGGAACGGGGCCACGGTCCTGGGGGTGTGTGTGCAGGGGCAAGGAGGCTCCTGGGTCGGTTTCGGTGCCCAGTTTGGGCACTGACTGACCCCGAATTCGTTTCCAGTCCAGAGTTTTTCTGCTTCACCGGGACAGCTTCCCTTTCCCTAAAGTTTCAGCAGACACATCCCTGGTTTCTGTGTTTCCTCAGTCGCTCCCATGCTGGAGTGGAGATGAAGGCCTAGGCCGTTCCCCCTCTTGAAGCTGAAATGCCACAATGATGAATCTAGAAAGATGGGACACCCACCGGATCCTGTGGCGCGTGAGCCCCTTCGTGTTACACAGCCCCACACGGGCCATGTGTGTGGCGTGGGCATGCGGCCATCCCTGTCTTAGGCCTCTGGGCGCTGGCAGGGTCACCGTGAATCACCGTCCTTTCAGCAGGCACCGAAGTTGCCCACGGGCTTGTGAGAGTAAAGTTTTCATAAAACTCATGTAGTCAGAAAACTCAAAAAGGCATTTCAGCTTCGACAGGAAGAACTTCAAGGCGGTTTTCTAATACGAGATGTGGGCCCCGTTTTTTAAAAACTCTAAATAGCCAGACTTTCTATCACACAGAAAGCACTTGTCACTTCGTGTTCTTTCACAAATCAGACACGGCCAGGTCAGTATGCATGTCACATGCATGACACATGTGTGACAGTCTTGCTCTCAGGCCTCCCCGGGCCCAGAATCTCAGTTGGCGTCATTGGTGAGCTCCTGTGCCCGGGAGTCTGCAGAATAAGGTCACCCGCCTCTTTCCGGGTGCAAGGATGATGCGTCATCAGGGCAGTAGTGGGGGGGCGGGGGCAGAAGGGGAGAAGCACGGCTTCCGGCCTGACTCTGATTCGCGCACTTGTATCTTACAGGCGTATTTCCACCTGGGCGTCAACGAGAAGCTGGGGCTCTCGGGGAGGCCGGACAGGCCCATCGGCTGCCTGGGCACGTCCAAGGTGCCCGCGGCTCTCCCTGTGGGGCGGGGGCAGGTCGAGGGCCCGCAGACGGAGGTGCTAGTGCTGGGCTGCCTCCCTGAATCGTCATGTTGGACCTCAGTTTTAACTCTTACTGGGGCTTCTGTGGCCCCGCCTTTGGTCGGTCTGCGTTTATTGTGGACGTCTCCCTGCAGATCTACCGCATTCTCGGGAAGACGGTGGTTTGTTACCCCATCATCTTCGACCTGAGCGATTTCTACATGTCCCAAGACGTCTTGCTGCTCATAGACGACATCAAGGTAGCTGCGAACACCGTACTGAGTGGGGTGACTTTACTTGGACTGGTTCTGTTGTATGTTCTCACGTCGGGTGCTCCCGGGTCTCAGACACCAGGTGCTGCCGTGCCCAACATGCAGGTGAAGCGACAGCCACTAGGCCTTGGGGCAGGGTGCAGCCACCCGCAGTCTCGGAAGATGGGTGGCGCCTGCCTTGCTCAAAGCTGGGTGGCTGTGCCTGTCGTTCCCGTGACATCGGTCTGGACAAGCAGGCAGGAACTGGTTTGGAACCACCTTCCCATGACATGAAGGGACAGTCCCTTTGTGGACAGCAGCGCAGTTAGCAGAACCGTTGTCCTGAAGAAGAATGTCCAGAACACCCAGCTATCGAAACCTCCCCTGGCCTTTCCTCTCCCCTGTAGAGAAGCTCCAAGGACCGGAGTGCAGTGCCTGGAGCCGGGCCGCGCCTGTGAAATCTCAGCCCTGCTGTTTACCAGCCATGTGATCATGGGCCAGGCCTTAGCTTCTCGGTGCCCCCATGTCCTCAGCATTATGACGTGTAACTGAGCACTGAGACAGCTCTTGTCAGGGTGAATGTCTGTGCTGCGCTCAGAATAGAGCCTGCTCACGGGGAAGCGTTGCGCATGCCTCTGATGTAACCATGGTGATGATGAGGATGCAGGCTGAGTCGGAGGAAGAGCTCGCACGTGCCCGTCCTGCCTTCCACACACAAGTTCACAGTGACTCAGAGGGGAAACCAGTCTCGGGCTGACAGCCGGGTAGACTTTTCCTCCCTGGGACCGTCCTTGACCTGCATTCATTAGGCCACACGCACACAAATGCCACCCGAAGTCCTGGGGGCTCTGACTATTTTAAAGAACAAAGTTCCCAGTCAGCGTGGTGTCCAGCTGAGCGAGTGCACATGCGCACTCTCACGCTTGCGTGTGCCGGAACACCCAGGCCCCCGAGTGGCGTGCTGTCCAGGGCTGGGCCGAGGCCCCCTTCACGTGCCAGGGCTTCACTGGCTCCTCGCCGCTGGCGGTCAGGCGTCCTGGCCGACCCCGGGCGCGGGGCCTTCACCCCCCCGCTTTGCTTTGACAGAACGCGCTGCAGTTCATCAAGCAGTACTGGAAGGTGCACGGCCGCCCCCTCTTCCTCGTGCTCATCCGGGAAGACAACATCAGGTGGGTCGGGAGCGGGGAGAGGGGCCCGCGGCGCTGTTGGAGGCAGGTCCCCGTGCGTCTCTCGTCCCTCTCGGGCTGGCACAGTGCACACGGGGAAAGGCTGTAGTGGGAGGCGGTTCGTTCCCCCTCCTGCTGTTGACTCACCTGGTCGTCTGTCTGTGTCTATGTTCAGGGGCAGCCGGTTCAACCCCATACTGGACATGCTGGCGGCCTTTAAGAAAGGAGTGGTCGGAGGGGTCAAGGTCCGCGTGGACCGCCTGCAGGTAGGCCTCTGATCCGCCTGCGCTGTTCCGTCGTCAGGACCCCGTGCAGGCGCAGCCGCGCTCCTCGCTGTGCACCGGGTGTGTGGGCTTGCTGTCCGCCTTGTGCTCCACGCCCGCCTCCCTGTCCCCGTCGCCACCGTGCTGTTCATTCGCCTGGTCCTTCCGACCTGGTGCTCAAACGATCACTGGCATCCCCGACCAGAGTTTTAGGCTTGGAAGGCGCACCCCCAGCCTCGCTCTGGCCTTGGGGGAGCCGGGCCCGCAGTGCTGGGGCGGCCTGCTGTCTCATCCTGCCAGTGCGGGTGCAAATGTGTCTCCCAGAACTGAACTCTACGCCCGTTCAACACCAGCCCTTCGGCCACCTCCCTGCCACCCAGCCGTTGTCTTCCCTGTGACGTAGTAAATGACAGTGGCCCCTGTGTGCCTCTCTTGGCTCTTAGTCCAGGCTCTTCCAGATTCCTGAGCCAGTGGCTGGGGCTCCGCCTCCCCTTCCAGCTCCACCCCCCAGGACCCTGCCCCCCACCCCCAGGCGCCCTGGCTGCTTCCCACAGCGCTGAGCGTGTGTCGGGGCAGTCTCCCGCCCCTGCCGTCCTGTGCCCTGCCTTCTGCCGCAGTCCTACTTCAGTGTCATAACTTCGGGACAACGTCCCCTCACTGGTGGGGTTTCCCAGAGTGGGTTCATCTCTCCTCCCACTGTGCTTCTGTGGCGTTTCGCCCGAGCCTTTGCTGTAGCTCTCGTTTGAGGTGTAGCAAGTTCCCTGTGTCTGCCTCTCGGTGGGTTCGAGCTCTGTGGGCCTAACCAGGCAGACTCACGTCCGCCCTCGCAGAGTGCTTCCTCTCGCTTCAGCTTCCTGTAGGGAGCAGGCAAGTGCTGGCTCCTTGGTTCAGCCCATGTCTACGGAGCCCCTCACCCGGCACGGGAGGTGTAGTGGGGGGAAGACGCACCAGGTCCCGCCCTAGTGGGGCTCACTCCTGCGGGGGGGGGGGGGCCTGAGGGACAGCAGGCCCAGCGGGTGTGCAGAGCGATGGGCGGGGCCCCATCTTGGGGGAATGTTCATGGCAGAGGACCCAGCAGGACACAGCTGAGGATCTCGGAGCAGGAGGTGTGTTTGGGTGTCACATTGCAGCTGATACACCTGTGGCCATAGTTGTTTGGTTGCCGTCACTAAGGTCTTAATGCCTATGAAATTGATTATATTGGTGTTTGTAAAACTAATTCAGGAGCCTCTGCAACCAACTGAATCTTTTAATTAAGTGCTCTACCAACTGTTAATGGAATGTAGTATGTGCCCATTAACTCCAATTAAACATTTACTTTACGGGCTTAGTATCAAAATATTAAAATTAATTTTCATATGTTTTCAATATTGGTTATCAGCTTTGAGAATTAAATAATTCCTGACTCCTCTCTGCCCACGTCACAGTCCATTAGCACCTCGGTTCCCCTGCTCTCCAAGTGTAGCCGGGATCCGTCCACTCCCTTCACCTCCACCCCCGGCAGCACGGTCCCGTGGCCCTGTCTCCCGCCCACCTGGATTTTCACAGTCTCCTCCCTTCCTCGTGGCCATGGAACCGTTGCCCTGTCCCTGCTCGGCCTGGTCACGGGGCCGTTAGGTTGCGTTCCGCGTCGTGAGCCGCCCACAACTCCTCTCACACAGAGGGAGCACCAGCGTCCCCGCCCCCATGGTCCGAGTGCTCACTGCCCTCCGCCTGGACCTAGTGACTTCACACTGGCTCTTCCCAAAACCGTGGTAGTATTTTATGTTCTCTTTTCATTTGAGAATACTCGTAACGCTTTCATAGGCAATGGACTTTATCTCAGCTTAAGCGTAAGCACACGTGTCAGGACACAGAGGAAGACCCACCCCCTCTGACGTCCTTGTCCACCACGGCCCTGCACACGCGGGCGGGGCCCGCGCTCCAGCTCGGGCGTTTTTCCGTGTGGGCGAAGCTGTGTGAGTGCAGTGCGCCCACTGAGAAACAGTGTGAGCGTCGTGTGCCCTGCGGGTCGGCCCCTTTTTGGAAGGGTCGCCGCGTTCACAGCAGAGCGCACGCCCGGGGCGCAGTGTCCGGGCGGCGGGTCTCAGAGCCTCGCCGTCCCCATCCCGTTTCAGACACTGATCTCCGGGGCCATGGTGGAGCAGCTGGACTTCCTGCGCATCAGCGACACGGAAGAGTAAGTCCCCGTGGGCCGCGGGCCGGCACGCGTCTCTTCCGGTGGCGTCTGAGGTGCAGGCAACCTGGAACTGGCTCGTTTGCTCTCCAGGCTTCCGGAGTTTAAGAGTTTTGAGGAACTGGAGCTGCCCAAACACTCAATGGTCAAGCGGCAGAGCAGCGCCTCCAGCGCCGCAGAGCTGGAGCAGCCGCCGGAAGTCACCGCTGCCGAGTGGAGGAACAGACCCACCCAGGACATCCTGCAGAAGCTGCAGGTGAGGAGGGTGCTGGCTCGGGGCCCGGGGGGAGGCCGTGCTTTGGTGAGTCCTCGCGGGTGGCCGAGGGGCAGGAGTGCGAGGAGGGGCTCCCGGGCCACGGGCGCTCCAGGAGGGGGGATGCACTGGGCTTGGCTGGGTGTGGAGGTGTCGCGCGGGCCACTGCGGAGTCGGGTCGGTGGTGTTGTCTGCCCGACCCCAGGCTCCTCCGCCCTGCATCGCGGGGTTTCCCGCTGCGCCCTTGCCCCCCCTCCCCCCCCACAGCACTCAGGGCTGATGCTGGCTTTCCTCTTGGTCTCGGAGGAAAGCAACCCTGTGACCACATCCATTTGAATATGATGTCAGCAACCTAACATGATAACGTCCCTGGGGCTGTTTGCATTTTAAAAGAGAGGGCGTTAGAGAGCGGTGCACCTCCAAGGAGAAGAAGTTCGGATGGGGGAGCCGCAAATGCCGCCAGGGCTCGTGGGCCTGTGCAAGTGTGAGCGTGGGGGCTAGACGTGCGTCCTGCCAGCCAGCACCCGTCCTTGTCACTGGACGACCAGCCGGCGGTGCTGTGCTGGAGCTGAAGCGAGAGGCGTGCCCCTTCCTGCCCGCACCCAGCTCCTCACAGCAGCCTGCGGGCGGCAGGCCCCCCACCGACTGGCCGGCGGCTGGGCTGAGCCTCTGCAGCCTCTCGGTGCTGGCAGGACGCATCTCCACACTCAGAGAACAGCTCGTTTTCCACCCACTTACCTCGCTTCCTAAACGATCTGATGACTGACTCCTGGTGCCCCAGGGAGCCGGCTTGTCTGCCATCTGTCCCCTGGGTGTCTAGACAAACAGTCGCGCACTGTCAGCCCCTGCCTGGGAGTCCACCAGTGGCCTTCCTCTTTTCCCAGTCCCACAGCCAGCGTTTCCGCTCTGCATCGCGGGGTTTCCCGCTGCACTGCCCCCTGTGGTGACCTCTGCACCTGCGGCCCTGCGGTCGCCTGTGGTTTGTGCTTTCAGGACTGCGGCTGTGTGGCCAGCCAGATCATCCTGCTGGGCGTGCTGCTCCGAAGGGAGGGCCCTGACTTCATCACGAAGGACGGTAAGCGCCCCTGTCTGAGAACTTTCCAGAACAACAGGACTGCTCTGTGGTCCAATATGCACCGAGCACCCGTAACGAACACGCGCTAGGCATTACCAGTTACTGTCTTCTCCTTCAGATCCTTGTGAGAACAGCCAAGTGGAATAGATTGTGTGATGTCCAGGCCTCCCTCTGGTTGTCTGGGCGTGGGGAGCGGGGTGGGAGCCCGGACTCTGCCTGGGACACTCAGCCTCTTGTGGCTTCGCAGCTGTTTGTGGACCGGCTCTGTCCCCATTGCCTGTCCTGTGTGCGTTCACGGACAACATGGAGTTGTTGCACCTCTAGAGATTGGCGACCTCGTGGTCTGCAGCAGCCCGGGGAGGGGGTCTGGCGCGTGGCAGAGCTGTGGCACGTGGTTGGCAGACACGGGTCACTCTTATCATACCTGCGTCCACTCTGCATCCATGATGAGCCCAGTTGCCCCGAAATCCACGTGTGTGTGCTGAGCTGGGACTTGAAGGAATCACTGAATTCTTCACCGGGGTCTGCCCCTGGCGTTTTTAATACAGAACAAGCTGGGGTGCACTTGGGGTGTCATTGCCTAACTGCTCGGAGTGTTTTGTCTCATCTGAAAGTCCCCTGTCCAGGGGGCCACGTTGGTTTGGTTAGAACTGGAAATGGAGCCAGTCACTGAAACGTCAGCGTGACTGCCAAGGCGGCTCTGGTAGTGAGCAAAGCGTGACGATTCATTCAGATAAGGTCTACGTAGGTTTTGCATTATCGAAGCTGACAGATGGCCTTCAGGATTAGGGATGCAAACCGAATGATCTTAGTTTTCTTAACTCACTAAAGGCAGAAGCACTTCAAGCAGATTTCACACAGAAGCACTCATTTTAATTAGTCTTGAAACTAAATATAAGCAGAACTGTAGTTATATTGAGGACATTCAATACACTTTAAAACAATAGGATTTCAGAAAAAGCAAACACTTCGTTGGAAACCTAGATTTTATTACGTTTGTTTCAGCAGGTGCTTTAGAATAAAACAATATTCGTATAAAGCAGCTTGTCATGAGAATGCGGGGAGATAATTTTTTAGACCATTTGTGTAAACTTGGGAGTAATGCTCACCTCTCGCTTAGGCACCGGAAACAGCGTAAATGTTCTACGCCCGTAAAGCCTTGCGACACGTGGTAGAGCCCGAGTGTGGTTTTATCCAAACTGTTACAAAGCTGTAAAAGGAAGTTCGGGGTAAAATGAAAACCTCGTTCTGTGCCCTGTCTCCTCTCCGGTGTCCTGTCCTGTGACACGGTCACTTGCTGGCGCACCGGCGTGAGGCCAGGCCCCTGAGGACGGGCTGAGCGCAGCACTGAGAGGCCGTGCTGGGCGCCGGGCGCACACCGGCTCCGCGCGCCATGCGGGCGGATAAAGGGAGAATCGGGGCTGCTCGGCCTCTGCAGCATCTGGTCGACTGGCTCCTTTCCATTTCTGTTTCCTGCAGTCAATTAAAATGCCTTATTGTTACTTGTTAAAAACTTAGATTTCCTGTTAATTGAGAAAACAGTAAATTTCTAGAAATACTCACTGGAATCACATACCCAGACGAGATAGTAGGGAGGCAGGTGCGCACACTACATGTTTGGGCCGCACGTTCACGTCCCGTCACACGGCTCAGAGCACGCGTGGGTGGGGGCACCGCCTCCGGTGGGACGAAATGCGATGCAGCAGCAGTGGCTTTGTTAAGGAGAGTGAGCGCCACGCGGAAAGCCCTCCTCAGCAAGGTCTCTCTCACCCGACGTCTAGGCGCCGTCTCCGATCACATCGAGAGAGTCTACAGAAAAGCTGGCAGCCAAAAGCTTTGGTTTGTATGAGTGTCCCTGTCACTGTGTGTCCTTTTGTGTTGTCGTTTGCAGTAGCCTAAAGATAGTGGGCCGGTCCCAACACTGGCTGTCAGCCTGGTTTCTGCCGTTCGACTCCCAAGATATTTTTTACAAACCGTCTGGGAGTAAAGGCCTCCATAGGAAGAGCCCCTGCTAATGACTCACTGGGGTGACATGCAGGTGGCCCCCCCATCCCCCTACCCTACCCCTCTCCCTGCCCCCTGACCCAGGAAGGGGCTTCTGGGTCTGCTATGTGTGGGGAGCGCACCTGTGGGCAGGGGGGGCCATGCACAGAGACCAGGGCCGCGTTAGTCGTGAGCGGTTCTCGCACTGCTCAGGGTGAGCGAGCGCCAGGGACTGTGGTCGCTCCGTGGAAAAAATCCCAATATGTTCTGCAGAGGTAGCCTCGTCCCAGGGGTGGAAACAGAGTCGGTAAGTTGAAACAGAGTCGTCGGGGCCCACAGTGGGGCGGCGTGCCGACTGCATGGCTCTCTGCCTTTTGCAGCGATTCTAACAGTCTTACTAGCAGAATCCAGCATTTTGAAAGTCCGAGTGTATATATTTTTAGATGCCCCATTATTTTTTAGTTTTGAAAAAGTCTCAAGGAATGTAAGAAACTCCCTTAGCCCAAGTGAGCCTCGTGTTCCTAATCTCTGAGACAAGAGCATCAGCGACGCAGTCTGTTAGCAGTATTCGGACTCAGTGAGTACAGCTGTGCCGTCCCACCCCAGAGGTGACAATGCAGCAGCCCCCTGGTTACATCGCACGCATTCACTGTGCGGCCGCTCGGCACGGCCAGGCGTGCGAGCTGGCAGGTGCTGCTTTACGGCCAGTGAGGGTCAAGTGCGGTCCATAGTGTCCTCTTTGGCTAAGCAAACCTGGTTTCGCTCTGCGCGTTGCACCTGCGTTCAGGATAAACCACTAACCAGCCAGCACTGACGGTGCCGCGATTATGTTTGAAGGAACAAACTCCTGGAAGTTTTATTTGTTGTGTTTTCCCTTCTATGGCTGCACACTGACGCCCCAGGCTGGCGGTTCGCTACGGGGCTGCGTTTACCCAGAAATTCTCTTCCTCCATAGCCCCGCACATCACTACCTTACTGGTCCACGGGAAGCAGGTAATGGGCGCACAGCGCACGGACGCTGGAGCTGCTTGCCGTGCGGGGCTGGTGTGCATCCCGGGGTGAGGCGGAGCTTCCTCACGGTGTGTGGTTGAAAGCTTTCCTGAAAGTGGGAAGTGTCTGTTTCACTAACTCAGTTCAGTCCTCTGATTTTCACTGCTCCGTCTGTATTGAGATTGAAGAATAGAAATGCTTTTTATAGGTCAGCTCTCGGAAATATCCTCAAACACGAGAAAACAGTGTTAAACCCACATTTCAACTTTATTTTTCCATCTAAATGTTCCACATGAATTTTCATTTTTGAGGGGAAGAGAGGTCTTATGTGTTGCATGTGCTGTGCTTAAAAAAAAAAAATCAGTTCCCCTTACAGTCCAAGACTTTTCCAAAAAACTAAAAATAGCAGCGTGAACTCCTTCTGCCAGCGCCCTGCCTTTACCCAGAACAAACACTGCCGGTACTTCATTGTATCACTTCTTAGAGTTCAAGACTGAGTCCTGCACCCCGGGATTTGGCTTTAGGGGCACAAAAGCAGCAGGGTCCGGAGGGGTTATAGGAACAGAGGGCGACACCACCCCAGGTTTCAGGGGGAATTTTGTAACGCAGATCAGAGCACTCTGAGTTCCTCCTCAACGGGACAGGTCAGCCCACTTCCTTCCTGTCACCTTGCCGACGGCACAGCTGATGGCCATGGGCTGTGGCAGAGGCAGGGTGAGGGACCCTCTCCGCCCCTGGGGGCGGTCCTGTGGTCTGGGGCCCAGTGTCCCCGCAGGGCAGTGTGAAGCGAGGACCTCGGTGTGCACGTCCTCAGGTGCCCCTCAGGCCCCTCCCTCCTGTTGGGGTGTGAACCTCTGGCCCGCTCTCTTCTTGCCCGCAGGTCGGTTGTGCGCCACGCAGCAAGCCTTTTAAGTAAAGTGGTGGACAGTCTGGCCCCGTCCATTACTAACGTGTTAGTGCAGGGCAAGCAGGTGAGTCTCCCTGTCGGACTCGGCTCGGCCACGCCCCCAAGGCTGCGGCAGGGCCCTTGCCTTCCGCCCCCACGACCTCGCAGTCACAGGCCTCCCGGGGCCCCGTCGGCAGTGGCTCAGGCACGACTGCAGAGGGTCTCTTCCCCACGCAGAGCCCTGCCTCACAGGTGCGGCCACTGTCCTTCCCTTTTCCGGCTGCACCTCGAGCTGTGACTCCAGCCCCTGCGTTGACGTGAGGCCCACGAAGACACCAGTGCAGGGGGAGCTGGCAGTCTGCCTGAGCGCCCAGCCAGGGGCAGGGTGGGCCGGCAGAAGCAGGCGAACACCCCGGGGCTCTCCCGATTTTCCTTCATGGGAGGGTCTCCTCCCCTGGATCCACAGTCCCCTGGTCCCTGTCCCCTTCCTCCCGGGGCCAGCTCTTGTCCGATGCTCCCCCCAGAGCTCCTCCGGTTAGCAGTCCCTGTCTGGGTTCTCAGGACAGGCTGACGACCCTTCTCACAAGCTGCCCTGCACCCCAGCTTGTGGGAGGCCTGTCTCCCAGGCGGTGGTGGGCAGTGAGCCCCCGGGAAGAGGGGGCCCAGGTCCTGCCCAGCACCGTCCCAGGGTGTCCTGCCTGCGCCCGGCCTGTGTGGCCACCCGGCAAGCGTGGCTGGGCCTGAGCTGGTGCATGGCTGCTGCGGAGTGGGCGCGGCTGCTGCTGCGTGTCTGCTTCTCTGCGCCCCGGCGGCCTGGCTGGGTGGTCCCGCGGTGGGAGCGGAAACCTGTGTGCCTGCTGCTTCTGCTGTGGGACGCGTGCTTCACTGTTACGCCTTGAACTCTTTCCTGAAAGCGGCCCGTTGCTCGTGGTCCAGGCCTCTCCGCCAGCCTCAAAACGCCGCCGTCCACTGTTTATTTTGTCCTGAACATTTAACACTGACAAGAACGTGATTGTAGTAACAAGAGAACTCCTGAAAAGAAGTTCAGTCACATTTCACGTTATTTTTTCTGTTTCCTCCGTGTCATTAAAGGCAGGGTGTCCATCCCCATCTGTCCAGGCAGTGACCTGTCCAGGGCCTGCCTCCCCGCGTCCTTGCCTCCAGCTGGGGTGAGGACGGTAAACCTGGGCCTCGCTCCTTCTCCAAGAAAGTGACAGGTTTCAGGGAGCCCCCGTTGTCCCTTGGGGTTCAGGGCCCTGTGCAGTTTAATTCCACTGCCTGTGAGCACACGAGAAGGTTCTAGAGATCTGTGAGGTGGCCAGTACCTGGTGCCTGGGGAAAGGCTAGCTTAGAGAGGGCCGGGTCCCTCCGCACGGCGTCCAGAGCCGGCCTGCAGCCTGGGGCCTGGGACCCTGCGCCCCACCTCGTGGAAGCCTTGGAACCTGTCCAGAGGCCGTGGCTGGCTCGCCGTGTCCCAGGGCACCAGTCCCGGGCAGGGCTGCCCGAGCCTGGCGGCGGACAGCTCTGCTGCAGGGGCGTGAGGTCTGTTCGCTGACAGCCTCTCCTGACACCGGAGAAATGAGCGGAGCCTCCAAAGTTTGCATTTGCTCCTTTCTGAGAAGGGCAGTCATATTTTACAAAGCACCTCCCGGTCACCTTGAGCTCTCTGGGATGAAACGGGATTTAGTTGTCCCCTCTGGAGGCCCAGCGTGCCTTCCGACCTCTTAATAAACGTCCTTGCACGTGGGCTGACTGGTCGGTGCCCCTCACAATGTAGTTAACAAAGCAGCAGTCCCCAGTTTTCATTCATCACACAGTTGGAGCCCAAGGTCCCTGCTCTGTCCCCTCCATCCCTGCGAACACACGGGCCCCATGCTGTGCCTTCCCCCTGCCTCTAACCACCCAGCACGGAGCACCGAAGGCAGAGGCAGGGCGTCCCGCAGGGCCTTCGGGGGCTCACCGGCAAGGACACCACAGGGACCAGAGGTCCCTCGTGCCGGCCTCGGCAGCACCTTCTGCTTGGAGCTGCCATTGCCACCCCTCACCCCTCACCCCCCGCCCCGTGCTTCCTTGTGTCCTGCCTTTTGGGGAGCCTGGGGGGCTCCCCTTGGCAGGTGAGAGGGGCCGGCACGTACGTTAGAATTCATGAGGCTCCCAGCGCTCCGCCAGGACAAGTGGGGCCACACCAGAGCTAGGCACCCTCGTCCTTAACCTTGAAAAGGCCGCAGTGTTGTTAAAGAGCAAAAAGTTCCACGTGAGGAGCCACGGAAGCAGCGAGACATGCCCTCTGCCGTCAGGGTGTGTGGCTGGGCCGTGGGCCAGACTGCTGGGCGTGCTCTGGTTCCTCAGGGCCTTCCAGTGCTGCTGTCACTCAGAGTCACTATATCTCAGGAGGTGCTGGCGCTCCTTCCCCGCTTTCAGTCACCTGCCCCCACTCCCTGAGCCGGGCCCCTCACTTGCCCTTAGACCTCAGACCAGCCTCGAGCCACCGGGAAGTCCGGTGGGAGCTGCGCTTCGAAAGTTACTTTAATGAGAAGCAGGAGCAGCCATCCCACCTAATCCCCCAGCTCCGGTGGAATAATTTCTGCCTGCCAGTCTTCCTGAGCCCTGGGTTTTTTTCCTTTTATCTTTTAGCTGCTAGGAGATTTTTATAATAAAATCCTGCCACTTCCAGGTGACTCTGGGTGCCTTTGGGCACGAAGAAGAGGTGATCTCGAACCCGCTGTCACCAAGAGTGATTAAGAACATCATCTACTACAAGTGTAACACCCACGACGAGAGGGAGGCGGTCATTCAGCAGGAGCTGGTCATCCACATCGGCTGGATCATCTCCAATAACCCCGAGCTGTTCAGCGGCATGCTCAAAATACGCGTGGGGTGAGTGGTGGGCGGTGAGTGGCGGGCGGTGAGCAGCGGGCGGGGGGGGGGTGAGTGGCGGGCACCACGTGTGCGAGAGCTGTGCACACGTCCCGTGTGGGCACACTTGTGTCTTCCTCCCTCCCTCCCCCTCAAATGAATAAAATGTGTTGTTTTAAAAAGCTTTTCAGATTAGAAAAATTAAATTACTGACACATAAAATAAGTAAATCTCTTAGGCATTTCCGGGCGTAACACTACACCAGCTTGGAACGCGCCAGGCACACCAACAGCACTCCATAAACACTGGCCTAAGTAACTACTAAAACTCTGTCTGTAATAAAAGTTATTTCATGAACGGCATGTGAGTACCTATTAAGGAATAAATTCCTTAAGAATAGTACATGAACAGCATTTAAATACCCACATTTAAACGTCTGCAAGGAGGATCTGAAATCTGTTAGTTAAAGTACGTTCTCTAACGTACCAGCTAAGTGACGACTGTGTCCCTGTGTTTCAATGGTGGGCACTCCTGCGATGTCCCCTCCAGTCACAGAGAAAGAAGAGGAAAGTGGAGGAAATGGGGGAAGTGCGCTTCCTCCCAGAAAAGGGGCGTTTGTGTAGCTGCACATGTTGGCCCTTTCCCTGGAACGAGCCACTTTTATCCTCTCGTTTCTGCCCATGTCTCATGTGGAGGGAGCTAGTGTGTCGGCACCGGGCACCGGGCGCGGTCGTGCTGGTACGGTGTCGTCTGGCAAGGCCCCGAGCTCTAAACCCCCTCCTGTCTGCTGCCCGCCCGCGCGTGCAAGAGCAGGCGTGGTGTGTAAGAGGCTGAGCGTGCCACTTGCCCCGCCGTCGGGAGTTGCATCCGAGGCTGGCGCAGCCCTGGTGGCCGCTGTCGGGTCCGGGGTGGCTGAGTCCCGCCCCTGCTCCGCTGTAGCTGGATCATCCACGCCATGGAGTACGAGCTGCAGATCCGAGGCGGGGACCGGCCGGCCAAGGACTTGTACCAGCTGTCGCCCAGCGAGGTCAAGCAGCTCCTGCTGGACATTCTCCAGCCTCAGCAGAATGGAAGGTAAGGAGGGGCCCCTATTGCCCACCGGTCCCTTGAGATTCACGGTAGCCTCATCCCCAGTACGTACCTGAGACGAGGCATCGGGAAGAAACACGGAGTAGGGATGGAGAGTGCGCACGGAGGTTCCGATTCCAGCTCCTGTCTCCCCGTGCGGTCTGGCGTCCGTTGGAATTGTACTCACTTCCCGGGGGGAGTTGTTGGCGTTTCTTCATTTTTACTGCTCTGTGCAGAGCGTGGACTGCCACACCGCTTTGGGCAGCCCCGTCCCAGTCTCCGCGGCCTCCCCGCCACCGCCCACCGGCCAGGCATTGGCTTTGCTTCGGGTCCCTTCTCAGTGTGTCCTTGCCTGGCCCTCCGAACCCCCAAGGAAACAGCGAGGCTCCTTGGGGCCCAGCCCTTCCTAGACTTGCCTTGTGCTGCAATTAGATAAGAGCAAAACAAATGCGTGTGGATTTCAGGGAACTGAAGAATTTTTTATAACAGGAAAAGCTTTGGTATAATTACTTAAGCTGCTCCTTTTTCAAGGAAGCTGCTTTGGGTGTTCAAGTCATTTAATCTCACGGTGAGATTTTTAACCTTGTCACTTACTAGTGAAGAACGTTTTGCCTGTTAAATTTTTTAAAATCTAGGGACTTTTTCCTTCCCTGCAAGCCCCATTTTCTCTACGAAATGTTTCGTGATCTTCATGGCGCACGCTGGAAGGCACACGATCGAGGGGTCCGGTGCTCACTGCCCACCTGATTGGAGTGGCTGGTCTGCGGGGAGAGCCCTGCTCTCCGCCAGGACCGGCCGTGCCTCTGAGCTGAGCCCACCCCTCTGGTCTGCAGGTGCTGGCTGAACCGGCGCCAGATCGACGGGTCCCTGAACAGGACGCCCGCGGGCTTCTACGACCGCGTGTGGCAGATCCTGGAGCGCACGCCTAATGGCCTGGTTGTGGCCGGGAAGCACCTGCCCCAGGTACCGCCCGGTGTGCCCGCGTCGGGGGAGGGTCAGCGTGGGGCTGGGAGCAGGGCAGCCCCTCTGCACCGCAGGGCCCTTGTGCTGGTTCCATTTTCTCGGGGAGCCTCCCTGAAGCACGGAAATGTGGTAATAAAGAAATAAGGCCGATTAATACAATTTTCAGGCCAAACATCCACTTGGTAAAGCTGGGCTTCCTGTAGAGGGGGACTACTGTTGGAGAACGGAAGTAACTCAGGCTGGGAAAACGTGCTTCCGGTCCAGCTGGTTGGACGCGGTTCCCAGCACCTGCCCCTGCAGGTGTGCGGACAGCCTCCTCTGGTGCTCGTACCTTTAGGCTCGTTCGGAGCGTGGCCTCTGCTCCGTCTTTGGGGTGGAAGGTGGAAGGCGGAGGCTTTGCAACACTTGTGTCCTGAGCGGAAGGCGAAGGGTCAGGTAGCCGCCCAACCAGGGGGCCAGTTCCTCCCAGCAGTCCACTGAGCACACGGAGCCCGGTCCCCGTGCCACAGGTCCTGTCGGGGCTGTGTAGACACGGGAGGTGACGGCTGATTAGCCGGGACGCCCTTCTGTGCACTGGGGGCCAGGGCGCAAGGAGCCGCCCACTAACACGGAGCCGCTCCTTCCCGCAGCAGCCCACCCTGTCGGACATGACCATGTACGAGATGAACTTCTCGCTGCTGGTGGAGGACATGCTGGGGAGCATCGACCAGCCGCAGTACAGGCAGATAGTCGTGGAGGTGCGTGCCGCAGCGCGGGCCCCCAGACTCGGTGCGGGGGGCTGGCTGGGGGCCGGACCTCTCATCCCACTGACCGGGGGGCCCCTGCAGTGGGGCCCTGAGGACGGGCACTTGCTCGACCCCCATCAGGGCCCACAAACGAGTCGGACACCTGGAACCCTGCAGGGCGCAGAGCGGCCGGGCACCTCTCTCCACGCACACTCGTCCCCTCACAGCAAGCGCGTCCACGCCACCGCTAAAGACAGCCAGTGCCGCCCTCTGTCTGTTCCCTGCGGCTCCCGCTGTGGCAGCAGTAAAGCGTGATTGCCGCAGAGGTTCCGAAGCTCAGAGCCGGGGTCTGGGAGAGGTGGGGCCGTGGGAAGGGCCAGCGCCTTCCCTGCCCCATTAGCCTTTTGATGCCTGCCGCTCGGCCCGCACCAGAGCATGCTCACGTCACTCAGGGGTCAGAGCCAAGTGCACCCTTGGAGACAGTGCACGACGGTCCCCAGGGCCGTCCCCAGGGCCGTGCCGGCACAGACCTAGACACTGGGGTGCTGAGCTCCGAGCCACTTGGCCGTGGGCCTAGGCCGGAGTCCCCAAGAGCCCGCCTGCCTCCTCCGCTCTGTCCTCCCACCCGTCTTGGGCGGCCCCGGCCCCACTGGACATGGTGCCGGCTCCACGGGGAGTGGTGGTGAGGACAAGCCCGGTGCCCACGGTGGAGGGCCGCGGATGGGACGGAGAGAGTCCTTTTCCCAAGTGACTGGTTTCACACGGTTGTGGGGCCGCACTCCGCAGCTGCATGTGCCGCAGTGACGACACAGCGCCCTGCCCGCAGCACTGACGCCACCAGCAAGCAAGTCCCGGGGAAGGAGGGTCACTCCACAGCCACTTCACGGTGTCCCTCATCCGTCTCTTGCAGCTGCTCATGGTTGTGTCCGTTGTCCTGGAGAGGAACCCGGAGCTGGAGTTTCAGGACACGGTCGACCTGGACCAGCTGGTGCAGGAGGCGTTCCGGGAGTTCCAACGTGACGGGGGCCGCCCGAGCGAAGCGGACCCGCGGGTGAGTCGAGCAGGCGCCTCCTGCAGGTTTGCCTGCGCTGTCTCAGTTCCCTAGAATCTCCCTGACGTGCCACCGCTGAACTCCCGCAACAGACTAACCGGCTGCAGAGGAGAGTTCCTGGGGGACCCCGGGGTGGGGGAGGGCCGACTTCCTCCAGGAGTTGATGTTCCTCGTTAGTGAGTCGGTTCGACTGTGAAGTTCTGACTAAAACGACGTGAGGACAAGATGAGGTTCCTTTCTGGAGGCAGCGGTTGAAGTGTGTTTTCGGGGGAGGGGCCTGGACCCCCGGAGGCCGTACCCCACCCCCCGGGAGGGGGCGTGCACACCAGACCCCCTGGGCCGGGACAGTGTGTGGTGCAGCGGTCACATCCCCCACAGAGAGGGTCCCTAAGGGGCCAGCGGCACCCACAAACGGGAGGGCCCCGGGTATCTGTCTGCTGCTCATGCGCTGAGAAGCTGCGTTGGGGGGGGCGGGGCCCTGGAGCCCCTTTCTCCACCCAGAGCCAGTCTCCGTGCACCAGTCTCCTGGGTGACGCCCATTCTGCCACGTGGTTTCTCACCAACCACGACACTAAACGCCTCGCTTCCCGCTTTTCCCGCAGGGCGGCTTGACCTCCTTCTACAACACGCCCCCGCTGGGTCGGAGGGGCACCTGCAGCTACCTGACCAAGGTCGTGATGAACCTGCTGCTGCAGGGGGAGGTCCGGCCGAGCGGAGACGACCCGTGTCTGGTCAGCTAGTGAGGCAGCGGTCGGGCTTGGCCAGGTCCCACCTTCCCGGGGCGATCGCGGGCTGCGTGGAAGCCTCGTGGCCCTGCCGGTCATGCTGGGGAGGTGGTCGCCCACCTCGGCCAAAGCTGTGGGGCCTGCCGCCTGCATGGGCCCGTCTCGAGGTGAGGAATGCTCGTGCTCCGGGATGGACATGCGCGTGGTCGCGCCGGCTGCAGCCGTAGTCTTAACTGTTCAAAGCATTTGTGACTTGAAAGCTCCCCACTGCATGTTTTAGATCAAGTAGCTCATCAGAGTAAACCGCTGCACTTTGGACTAAATTCTCCACTCACCGCCATGGAGGTGGGCGTGCCGAGCGGCCGTGCACCCTGGAGTGGAGAGACTTCGGACGGACAGTGACCTGTCCTGGTGGCGCGGTCACGCCAGAAGGTACGCAAGTCATCGTGAAAGAACCGGCCAGCGGCCAGGTTGATTCTGGGAAGCTGCATTATTGGTGGAATTCTAGTTCACTGGACCGCAGGGTTTTCGTCCTGTAAACGTGACCGTGGCTTTGTGCCCGTGCTGACTGCGGGGCGGGGCGGAAGCTCGGCGATAAACCTGATCAGATGCTTGTGACGCTTGTGTGGCAGACACCAGCTGCACCTGCTCAGACGTCTGCTGTGAGTTCTTGCCAAACACGGGGCGTGCGTGAGGTTGTTCCGGGGTGGGAGGGGGTAAGCTGGTTTGTACTAGTGGAAACAAAAATAAATGTCACTAATTTTATCTCTGAATGAGTGGCTGTGTCTGGACACGTTCCTTGTTCTCCGTTCACAACACCCAGTTCGCTGCTCCGGACGCTTCGTTCATTGGACGTGGAGACGAGAGTGTACGGTACCTACCGTGACACGTGTTTTGCTCCAAATTTCCTTAAGAAAACGTCAATAAAAACGGAAAGTAGAGTAAACAGTTACATTTTACGAATTCATTTCCTGACTGTTCAGCGCAGCCCACGAGTTAGTTTTCTCACCAGTCCTCTTAGAGAGTTTCTCGTGGGAAGTCAGGCTCGCCGCCCAGAGCAGTGCAGCCTCCTGCAGGGGCCCGACCGGGTCTAAGACACAAAGGTCAGGCGGTGTCCACGACAAGTCGACATCAGTAGTGGGACTCGTGAGCACACAGGGACTCGGAGTCAGGCCACACGCACCGCAGCTCTGAGGGCGCCGCCGGGACCCTGCCCAGGGGGCCACACCGTTGCCGGTCGGCCAAGCTGCAGAGAAGGCGGGCAGGGCTGCCCCTGTGGGGCCCCTTAACCGGGGGCAGGCAGAGGAGAGAGTTCCCTAACCTGACATGTTAAGTGAGTGATGAAGCTGTAGGAAGATAATGATGAATCTAGTTTATAAAACAAAGCAGGGGAAAAAAACCATGGACACCCTTGGAGAGGGAACTGAGGACTGATTGGCACTTCCTAGCTGGGGAACTGGAAATAAAGGACAAAAACCACGTGAATGATTTGTCACTGGAATCTGGAGAAAAGTAAACTGTGTTGTATTTTTAAGGATTTTTTTAACAGTCTGATTAGCCCTCGATGGCGTGGCTCAGTGGATTGAGTGCTGGTCTGTGAACCAAAGGGTTGCCGGTTCAATTCCCAGCCAGGGCACATGCCTGGGTTGCAGGCCAGGTCCCAGTAGGGGGCACATGAGGGGCAACCACACATTGATGTTTCTCTCTCTCTCTTTCCCTTTCTCTATAAATAAAATCTTTTAAAAGAAGGAAAAAGTCTGATTAGCTGAGCAGTGTTGCCAGAAACCTGCTGCCTCAGTTGAGATCAGCCGTCACCTGCGAGCGTGTTTTCCTTCCACGAGTTTCAGCTTCCTGCTTCCACGGGGCGTGTGCTGGACTCCGAAGCTCCCCTGTGCTCCTGGAGGCATTTGGAGTAAGACACACGCACCGACTTCGGGTTCTGGCGGAATTCAAAATGCACTGTCTGGAAGGAGACATCGGCACCTGTAAATCTTGGTGTCCACCTCCATAGAATCCGGTGCCTGTTGTCCTGTCAGAAAAGCAGAAGATGTAAGAATCAGAACCCAGAACTCATGAACTGTAGACGTCCCTTAGCCCTGCAGAGCCAAAACGCTTCCCTGCTGTCCTAGAGACTGGGACACAGCGAGCACAGGTCCCCGGGGTGTGACCAGTGTGAACCCCATTTAAAGCTTCCCTGTCCCAGCGTCCGAGTCTCCGTGTAAGTTCATCATACAAGCGACGTCTGTTGGCCACTCCTGACTGCACATCAAATTCCACTACATCTCCAGAACATTGTTCTTAAAAACGAGGTATTTTCCAGATTCCCTTCCCTGTTAGTAAGTCTGAAAAAGTCATATTTCAGTTTTAACAAGTCAGCACGTGGAAATCACCCAGATGTCACCTGCAATGTGATCAGCTTGCAGCACCTGGGGACAGCGAATGACACGGACAAACTGACCTCCGCACCGGAGCTCGCAGGCGCCCCGAGCCCTCCTCGAGCGCAGTGTCGGAGAGAAGGCGCGTGACCTCGGCGCAGGACGGGGACCATGTTCACAGCGAGGAGGGCCCGGCGGCCTTGTCATCCACAGCCGGGTCATCACACTCCTCTGTCCCAGAGACTAGAAACATGAACGGGAACGAGGGGGCCAGTTCCGGCCAGACACCCCCAGCAGCAGCCCTCCGCCTGGGCCCAGAGGCTCGGGAAGGCAGAGGACGGCAGAGACTGATGGGGGTGTGCATGTGGCCCCCCCTCTGGCCTCTCAGAGGCTGGGCAGGCTGAGGACAAGTCAGTGGACAGGTTACGGAACCCCTGACCCACCTGGAGGGACGCAGATGCGCACTTGAGTCAGCACCCAGGGAAAGGGCAGAAAATACCCTTCCCGCCGCGGGCTCCTCCCGCCAGGCCACACCCCCATCGTCATTCTCTGGTGCATCACCACCAGCCTGCGGGGCCTCCGTGTGGCTTAGAATGAAGCAGCCTTTCTGGGCCTGGGAACAAGGGCTGACATTGTTGTGCACAGACGGCCATTTCTCTGGGTGGAGACGACCTCACAGCAGCGCACACAGCCGCCAGGAGAGCCTGTGCAGCCTGGGCCCCTGTGCGGTGCACAAACCGCATGACCATCACAGCCGTGCTCCCCAGGGAAGGGGACAGCTGTTGGGAGTGGGCATTTCGGCCACCCGCCTCCCACCTTCCAGGTCCCTGGGCGTGGTAGAGAAATGCAGGGCAGCCGGGACACGGGGTCTCCTGTGGTGGACTTTTGGTGAACCGCAGTGGCAGGTGAAGGTGGCAGTTTGGGCTTGGTACCCGCAGAGCCCACCTGTGAAGATGAGCAGGTCGGGGGGGGGGGGTTGGGCCTTTACGGAGGTGTTTGCTTCAAGGCCGGGAGCGTGGAGGTCCCAGGCGCAGCGCACGGCCCTAGCTCGTGGGAGTCCGTGCGCTTTGACGGGGATGCTTTAGGTTACGAGAGCGCAGCCCCTGGCCTAGTTGGGCAGCTCCGTCAAGCCCGCCCTCTGGTCAGCTGCACACGGGACTCTGCGCCGAAAAGGGGCAGGGTGAATCCAAGCGAAAGCGAGCTATTTTGAATGCCATTTTTTCTGCCACTTTCTCATCCTGAAAAAAAAAAAAAAATAGGGCAGAGATTCTCCAGCTTTCAAAACCATGAATCTGCCCTCAATAACAGAAACATCATTTCATTTTAAGGTGTTTTTCCAGTTTTACTTGTTTCTTGTTGACCCCCGTTAAAGGATGACACTCTTCCCTATTTTTAGAATTCATAACCCCTTGACTCCTCGGTGGTCCACGTTAATTAACATTGACCGTGCACGTGCTCTGACTGTGTCCGTCCAGGGTCAGGCCTCGGGTTGGGCCTGGTTACCGGTTCCCTTCCAGCCATTGCCAGACCGACTGTAAACACCTCATCCACCTTGTCAACAAGCTTTCAGTGGCCCCTACCTACCGCCTGCCCCTCTGAGGCAGTCCAGGCCATGCCCATGGTCTTCAGACAGACGCGGGTGGGGTCCTACCTGAATCGCACTTCCCATCCCCCTCGTTCCCTGCGTCCTCCCGTCCCCTCCCATCCCACTGGTCTCTGTCTCGGCGTGCCCAAGGACACCACAGAATCCCGCCCGGTTATGGACGGGGCCCAGACTCCGTCCATACGGAGCCACTGCTGTGTCCACTGCTCCATAAGGCCGAGGCCTGCAGCACAGGCCTTCTGAGCCCCAGCCCCCATAAAGGCTCAACAAACCGGGCGTCTCCCCTCACGACCCTGTGCAGTGCACCACGCAGCGGGAGCTGGACACACGCTTGGTGACGGACAGAAAAGAGTGGCCAGGAACTATTTACTATGCATGGAGGTCTCCCCAAAGGGGAGGCAATTGTCTGGTTGTCTGAAAATGGGAAAGGGGCTGGGGCCGGTCTCGGGAGTTTTGTGTTACCAAGGACTGTGCAGTGAGCGTTGGAGAAATCCTCTAAACCAGCCCATGTTTCTCTCCCCAGGAAAATGAAGGGTAAAAAAAAATGGTGAGGTCAGTACTTGTGAGAACCGCTGATGAATCATGTTAGTCGATCGACAGCAAAAAGCTGAGAACACCACAACTTTGTAAAAATAGCTTTATAGTCACATTCTGAAGCTGGAAGCTTTTACGCAAGTGAATAATAATACAAGTGATTTTTCACCTTCCACGGAGCAGGGAGGTGAACAACCAGAACGGCCGAGTCAGCAGGGAGAGGGCCCCGCGGGCACGCCAGGGCCATGGGCCTCCCTGCTGCTCGGAGGGCGACCAGCCCGGGTCCTGCTGCTTCTGGCCCAGCGCCCCGAGGCCCCGGCAGGAGCGGGGCGGCCACTGCTTGGTTAAAACACCTTCCTGGGGTCTCCTTCCTGGCCGTGCATGGTGAAGAGCCAGGGATGACACGGAGGCTTTCTGGGGACATGTCCCACCTCCAGTGGGTGTGAGTGCCTCCCTGGCTAGAGCTGAAACCCAGGTTTGCTTCCGGCTGCCCAGGGCAGAAGCAGGCTCCCCCTGCAGCCTGTCCAGCCCCTGCTGCTGCGCTGGGCCTCCCCCAACCCTGTCCTCTCAGGCACCGACCCCTCTCAGCTGCCATTGCCCCTTTTGGGCTCATCTCTGAACCCGTCCCTGCAGCGTTAACATGTGCTCAGCGCCCTCCCATCTCAGGGTTCCTCCCTCACCCTCAGGGCCCCTCTCCACTCACCCCACCTTTCTCTTCCATTCACGGCTCAATTCCTCACGTCCACTCACGTTCTGTCTTCCTTGTCCCTGTCTGTCACTGAAATGACTCTTCCTAGGGGCACTGATGATTCTCCTGTCACCAAGTTCAAGGACATGGTAGCCCTCTCGCCCCAGCAGTGTTCAAACAAGCACCTCTCCTGCCTCGAGGCCCCACCTGCCCGGGTTTCCAGGCCCCACACTCCCTGGCAGCCCTTTCTCAGCATCTTTTATCAGCCCACCCCCTCCACCCACCATTGAGATGTTGACGTTCCCCCGGCTTGTCCCCCTCCTCTACTCTGCCGGCTTTCCCTGGGTGGTCTTCCCTGCCCACCGGACCTCAGTGGTCGATGACCTATAAGCCAGTAACCCCTTTGTCTGCGTCTTCTGTCCGGGTCCCCCTCTGACATCAGACTCACGTCTGACCACCGACTTGACTGCTCCGTCTAGAGACGCTCATGGCCAGTGAACCCAGGAATTGAACTTGGAACCATCTCTGTCCCAACTCCTGAAACCCACTTTCCTTCCAGTTCTCCGGAGTCATAGT